AAAAACAGCAAAAATGAGAAATAGGTGAGTGAAGAAGAAACACTCAGAGTCCATCATGGGAAACTCCCAACAGCGAAGTCTTACTAGACATACTTTGAGGAACCCTCCTGCAAACTCAGTGAGGGTTCTCCCATTCTTATAGTCATTCTGACCATTTAATCCAGATTTTTTTGTTTTTTAATCTAGGTCTGCGTTCATGCAGACGTTTCCAAAGGGAATTACCAACACTTCACAGCACTATGATGTTAAAAACAGAGTTACTGGAGCATTGGAACAACCAGTCCAAAGATACAATAAAAAAAGATGTCTACAAAAAGTCGAATAACACAGCTTGTGCTTTATTACACACAAGTTCATTTATCTATTTTTTAATACTGTTGCTTAATGATGATGTTTTGGCAGAAACAAGAGTCTGGGAAATGAATAAATTAGACAGGCTTGTTAAGTTCACTGGGCTCAAAGTAAAAAAGAAATAGTTCCAAGGCCACAATTGTAAGAAACACAGTTTGGTTTCATGTAGGCAATGTCATGTTACTATCTTATTTTGTCATTTTGAGCTCACACAGTCAACAACTACCACAACTGCTAACACAAGTGATTCCAAGTCTGTGTCGGGTGGACACCGGGATAGGGTCTTTTTGGCCATTGGCTTGTTTGCAGGAGTTCAGATCCCTGCTTTGAATTTTTACACTTTAGGTCTATAATTAGCCAAAACGTTTTTGATCGCTTCACCTCCAGCGCTGTGGATATGACCCATAAGTGCAAAGCAGAAATAATTCTTCTGCTTTTTCTTCTATTTAAGATTGTTAGTTTCTTGTGAAACCCACTGAATGCCTCAAAAATATGGATAGTTAAGCAAACGTGCGTTCTTTTGACCACCTTTATAACAGTGCCTGATGTTCCCCTAATTTAGACCCAACTGAGCCTTTAAACTGATCCAGTTGAACTGGTCACAGCCACATGAAAACTGTGCAATGCAATCATGTGGTACAGGATATGGAGGCAATGAGTGTGTGATAGATTTCATGTTTACTCAAATCTAAAATTGTTTGCAGAGATATTTTAATATAAAAAGAGCTTAACTTTAGTCAGACAACTATTACACCAAGCCTTCGTTCTCAGACTTTTAAAGACTAAGACTTCATGTTTTCTTCCTCAGTATTTTGTTTGTATTTGATAAAAATCTGTACTGTAGGTGCATTCTGCAAATATCTATTGGATATAGTACATAATATTTGTTCATCGTACAGGCTGTCTGCATACTTTATCAACTACTAGTTCTATTCAGGAAAAACATAAATTACTGCAAAGGTAGTAAAATCTTTATATTTCTATATTACAAGTAATCTTTTAATTTAAGCAATCTTTTAATTATAGTTTATTTAATAATAGAATAAACCAAGACTGTGAAGCAAAATGTTTGGATCTAGTTTTGGTAAATGAAAAAAAACTAACAAACCCAACAACAACATCAACAAACACACCCTTAATTTTAAAAGTTTCTCATCACACTTGGAGTGCCAGTGGCCAGTGCTCCGTTTGGCCATTTTAGAGAAAGTGATCTGCATCTGTGCCCACATTTAGCGAGTTTTTTGTTTAGAAAAACTGTGTTTAGTGCTTTCATATAGCTGAACTCAAATAGGCCAGGAAATGAACGACTTTTAAAAGTTCTGGAAAACTTCTCTAGGACACCACTAGAGGGAGAAAGACCCAAAAGAATGAATCAGAAGGCACAAATGTGCACCAGGGCTCTAGATTTGTAAGACATTAATGGCACTAGATTTGTCCTGATGAAATTAACCTTCATTGTAAGTGAATAAATCATGACCAAGAATTTCTACTTGAAATTATCTTAGATGTGTAACGTTGGATGTCCATGAGACTTGCCCCTAAATCCTCAAAGTTTTGGAAACACCGCTCTCAAGTATCTTTGGATATTTATGTTAATAATGTATTTATTTTAATCAATGCCATTTATCAACAGATCATTCTAATATATGGTGAGGCAAACATTTTGCCTAACTTCCATTAGGCGAGTCGACTTTTACATGTAAAAGCAAAGGAACTAACTTTCTGAAACCCATCGTAATACGTTTGAATGTTCTCACTGCGGCAAATACTTGACAAGCTTTTTCTAGGTCAGGCTTTGATTAAAACGGAAACAAACTCAGGTTTTTTCTAGTTGGTCAGGTTGCATAAAGGCTGAAAATTTGGTGTCAAGCAGCTTGAAAGTTTGCTTTTTAAATTCAACTTCTCAAATTATTTCAATATAAAGAATGTTTCAAAAAGAACCTTTTTCAAAAGAAGCGTGTGCACAGGCTAAATGAGAAGATTCAGCCATTTGTTGTAGCTCAGGGGTGGCTGTAGCTCAGGTGGCAGAGCAGGTCAGCCACTAATCAGAAAGTCGGTGGTTCGATCCCAGGCTGCCTCCTGGCTGCATGCCAAATATCCTTGGGCAAGATACTAACCCCATGTTTTGAGTCTGGAAATGATGTAACGTCTACACCACTACATCACACTAGAGCTGAGCTGGAACAAGAAGAAAATATTTCAGTATGTCAATTAACCAATCAATGATGAAATTAAATAGATTACTCTATTCTATTGTAATCCAATGTGGCAGCTGAATCAGGATTATGAAAGGTTGTGTGAATGCAAAACCTAGTTTTATGGGTAGCAGATGAAACCAAAGGTGGAAATGGTCTAAGATAACTGTCTCAAATCAGTTTTGGGACACATACAGAACCCTGTCTGTATTGTTTTGTACTTACATTAAATACATTAAATAAAAATCAGGAATATTGCAAAAATGTCAAAATTGTTGGAATTATCAGTGGAAAAGAATATAGTCAGATTTTGATTTATCGTGTAATCATTAGCTTGATTTTTTCAAGATAATCAGATGATTTTTCTGCACTGGCAGTGTCTCGATCCCAAACAGACAGCCAGTGCAGTAAAAACATACCTGGATAGAAATACACATCAATCATGGACTAGCCTCTCCAGAGCCCGGGCCTCAACATTATTGAAGCAGTGTGGGATCTTAACACAGAACAGAAAATAGAAATAAATAAAAAACAGAGCCAAAACTAAAAGGAGAGCTTTTAATGTCCTTCAAGAAGCCTGGAGAACTAGTCCTGAAACAAATTACAAGAAAACCTTTGAGTGTGTTCAGGCTGTGTTGATAAAATTAAGGTGGTCATACGAAATATTGTTGGAGAACGACACTTTCAAACTTATTTCCATGTGTGTTTGCACATATTTGAATAAACTGCTGCATGTATTTCTAGTTTTCTTAGTAAAATGTGAAGAAATAAGGGGTAGCTTTTGCACAGCACTCTACTGTATCAACAGATGCAGACGAAATAACACAAGATTACAATAACAAAGTTTCATTTTGTTTAGAAACTAAAATGTTTCAGTTTTTGTCTCTGCTGTTTTTAATAAACATGAACAAACTACAAAAACTTGATTTGGCATCATTTCACATAGAGTGCTTAAAGTTATTAGACTACAACCCGGTGTAAGTTTTATGTCACAGTTACATTAAATTAACAGTACCGGTAATTACCAAAATCATTTTTAAAAAAAAATCTTAATGCTCCAATATGTCGAAGCTCTTAAATTGAAATATTTTTAATACCAACATGAAATAGTTATCCATAAACTTTCAATTGTTTTACAAAAAACAATTATGCCAAATTACAGATCTTTACTTTCATTCCTGAACATAAAAATTGTTTTAGCAGCTGAATGTTATGCTTGAATGTTTTCTGTGTATAAAAATGTGAATTTAATTTGGTAAATACAGTAAATCTTTTAAAGAAGTTTGACAGATTTTTAAAATATGTGTTTTTTTCCCCCCATCACAGGAGATCTCATGTGGGACGAACTGCACAAAAGTTCATGAAAGTTATGACCATGAATGTACAGGACAGAAGTTCATATTATCCCCCTAAGACCCGAACTCTTTCATGGGATGCATTTCGAATTTTACTTTGCTATTTGGGCTGATTGGGACCTGATGAATTACCAGATTACCAGAATTTTTTGTTTTACCTAATTTTTGTTTCTGAGAAAAATGAGAGCCACATATGAGGACATTCGTTTGAAACTTTGATAGAACAGTGGCAGTATAATGTCCTCGTAAGTGGATATCAGGCCCTTGTAGAGAAAAATTTGGTATTTTGGTCTAGAAATCCCAAAATGTGATGTCCAGATATGTGGACGCCAGGTCCTAGGAGGTTAAAATAAAGAAATGACAAGTTTCTCAGAGTGAGCTTTGTCACAGCTGATTTGTGTGTTATTAAGAGGGCTTTGAATAATCTTTATTTTGTATACACACAGTATGTTACGTATATAAAGACTCCCAAAATATAACCGTTCTATTCCAACGCGTTAATAAAAGCATTTTAGGGATGACTGTGAAAAATGAGAACAATAATTAGCTTTTGAACTATTAAATCATTGCTAATATTATATTTTTGTAGCATTTTACCGTGATCTCTTTTTCCTCTGAAACCTTATGGGCATCGTCTATTTGCTCAAAACCAACCAAACTATCTTAATATTCATGCGACTGTGCTTTAAACTGAACTGATATATAAACAAGTTAAGATAAATCATCATCATATAAAAAAAAAAAAAAAGCTAACATTGGATAACACCTGTAGTGCCCTCATCTCTCCAACAGATGCTCCCCTAATGCCATCCTCCCCAGCTCCCCTTAGAAACGAGGCAAAAATAGATAATCCACCTTTTATATTGTAGATACATTTATATAATCATTTTTTGTTTTTGTTTTCTTTTTTTACAATGGAATTGCTCCGTCATACAAGATGACTGAAAAAAAAGAAAAGAAAAAAAAGCACACAATACAGTCAATAAACCAAACCTATAGAACATATGATTGTCACTTACTTGCGAGTCACAAAAAAAGTACATACCGCGAATAAATAATCTACAGAAATATGTACAATATGCACAACAAGAAATTCAATGGAAGTGCAAATAAAGCTTTGGATCCCTGCACAGGAAATAAGGTAAGCAAATGTGAGCCAGCTGTCCCCAACATACAGTATGAAGCAATAGTCATCCGAAAGTCATAAATTTACAGGACATTTAGTAACATTTAGGCTTTGAGCTCCTGCATTTAATGACTTTTAATAATGAACTGCGTGAAACAAAAATCTGAGAGATTAAAATGGACACATTACATTATGTACAGCGTATCGAATTCCACGGAAAACTGGAGTGTTTTCAGTGCTTGTCGTCCAATGCGGATCAAGGCAACAACCACGGGACTACAGCCAGAGACGGAGAAAAGTAGGGATCCAGAGAGAAGGCTGCTCACTGCAGAGGATTAAAAAAAACAACAAAAAAAAACTCATTGCACCTCTGCTGGCTTCCTTAGCTTGTAGTGACTGAAACATTCTGTGATATTTAACACTGTACAACTCTGCTAACTTTCCCATCTAGATCGAGAAGAAGAAGAGGGAAGAGAGCTGGTCAAAGGAGGTCATGTGTGCACGTCACTCTTGTCGGGTCGGTAACACACACTCTTAGCATAATGCACACATGTGAGCTGCAGTTGTCTGTAATGTCCCAAATTAAGAAGTCCTGCTGGGTGCGGTAGCTCCAAGTTACCCAGAGTTCAAGTACTCCAGTGCCACTTCATAGCAAAATTTGTATTGGTCCTAGCAGGAAAGAAGAAACAGACAGAGGCATTAGAGATGTGCAGGAGTTGGCCTGAGTCTAAGTCATAAATAAATACTACAAACCCTCTGGGGATTTTTGCTATTCCCAAAGGGCCTGTTGTTTGTTTGATAATCATACCATTTAAATCCTATAACTCTGACAAAACATCAATGGGACTTTAAAGTCGAGGCTTTCGGCACATTAAACAATCTCAGTTCTGCACCAGACTGAAACTAATAAATAACTGACAACTTCAAGCGGATGAGAAGGTATTGACTTTATTGCTTTACTGCTTGTCACTATAGAATATGCGTCACAGATGCAGATATATGGACCCCTAATCGTGCGATCACCATCTTCACAATCTTCAGCGGCAGAGGAAACTAACTGTCAGATACTTCTTCTTCATAAAAGTTGCAACAAGCAGCAGCATAGCGCATCACTTCCTCTTCCACTGGCGGAAAACGTTTAAATAAATATGAGTTGATTTAATATGGTTCGGAGCTGAGTGTTTTTACTGTGTCCTCTTGATTTTTGATTCCTGATTTTTGATGTTTTCTGTGACGAAGGCTTCAAAGCTGTATTAATATAAGTGAATTTTGACATCTTGCCACAGTTTATGTTGTCAAACTTACGACTCACGGGCCCAGAAGTAGCCATTCAAATGATCCAAGACAGCCCACTAGCTAGCTTTGCAAAATGAGGAAGTTAAAATTACAGAGCGGGCCTGCTGGAGGTTTTTTCACGTTAAAAGGGAGTTTTTCCTTCCCACTGTTACTGCCAAGGGCTTGCTCATAGGGAGTCATCTTATTGTTGAGGGATCTGTATTATTGTAGAGTCTTTACCTTACAATATAAAGGACCTTGAGGCGACTGTTGTTATTTGACGCTATATAAACAAAACTGAATTGAACTCATTGATGCACGCATTACAGAGAGGAGGCATCAGATGAAAAGTTCAAAATAGTTAGTTATTGAAGTTATAATTAAGTAAAATAATTTTTCTCTTTAGTTCCAAAATATCATTCATAAAGGTCCACTGTCAGTTGTAATGCACAAGTGAAAGGCCCCAGGACACACAAACTGGGAAATATCAGGAAGGGCGTAAAGCCAAATGAAATATTTGAAGGTAACACTGCTGTGTTGACACCATGTAGTTAAGGCAGTAACTGAAAGTAGCTTTTTTAATTACTTTTTTGTGAGATTAATGAGTTTAAATCCCTGGTGTCATTCGTACAAAACAACGGACAGCGCACAAGAGAGGTGAAGAAGAGAGTGCAGGCAGAGTGGAGTGGGTGGAGATGAATATCAGGGGTGATTTTTGACAGAAGAGTAGCAGCAAGAGTGAAAGGGAAGGTTTACGAGGTAGTAGTGAGACCTGCTATGATGTGTGGTTTGGAGATGGTGGTACTGACATGAAGACAGGAGGATGAACTGGCAGAGCTATAGATGTTGCTATTTTTATTGGAAGTGACCAGAACAGACAAGTTTAGAAAAGAGTACGTCAGAGGCGGCACAGGTTGAGTGTTTTGGAGAGAAAGTTAGACAGCCAAGGCTGAGATGGTTTGGACGTGCAGAAAGACAATATGTTGTTCTCTCTGCTTCTTCAGCCATTATACCTAGATTGCTGTAGATTCCCAACTGGTACTGTGAGAAACTTAAAACAATATTCTGATTTATGAAGACTGCATTTATATCAAGTTTTCAGCTCCTGCAGTGTCCCTCACCAGTAGGTCCACCATGTTGGGCTTATTATTCCTCAGTGTCTTGACAGCGTGGAAAACATCCACAGAGCGCTGGTGTTGAAGCATCTCACACACAATGCTGATGGCACAGAATGTCCCACTGCGGCCGCCTCCATTCCTATGGTTGTGAGAGAAAAGTTAAATATTCAAAATTTCAAAGTCATCCAAGAAGAGTTCAAAAAGAAAGCTAAAGCTGACACTAAAGGCTCACAAACGGCTGAGGTGTGTTTTGATGCAGTGAAGGCTTTCAGTCAGTAGGTGGAGATGTTTCATTTTTAATACCAGCAGGGAATGAAGTTGGAAACTTACAGACAGTGGACCACAGTGCGTCCCTCTCCCCCGTCGTACTCCTCCTGCCATTTATCCACCTGTCGAATGAGCTTGAGGAAGGAGCGTTTGGACATGGGCGTGTCTCTGTACATGGGCCAACCCAGGAACTGGAACTGCTGCACCATCCGGTAGCCATCCTGAGGCTAGAGGGGGGGGGGGAAGGACAACAGTTATCCCAGGTTAATACACATATGTAGGGGGGAGGGAGTTAATCGCTGCTGTATAAAGATGCAATCAGACTGTAAAGATGCAGGGAGGGTGAAGCTAAGCTTCATCAGAGGCTGGATAGAGATGGTTAAAGGGCGCGAGGAGTCGCTGAAGAGATAAGCGTGCAGATAAGACAGGGTGATAGATGAGCACAGTTGCTGCTGGAGACAGATAGTTAAGCAATCTAGGATACAGACACTCTAAATCACACTCAGACATATCGATCAATAACACTTGTCCGCGATCATGTGTGATTAGCTTGTAGTGCACTTAACATGCTGTAGGTGCCTCTGCCGGCCAGAGGATGTTACAGCACGTTAATATGAGGAGCGATTATTGACAACAGAGAGCAGGCTGTTGGGATAAACAGCTTACACAGGTGACTGCAGGTGATGCCGGCATGGGTCAGGTGCCTGTCTGTGCAGTGATGTCTGGTAGCTCAAAGTTAAAGGGTCAGTACACGCCATGTTGTGAGATATCTCTCTTTGAGGGTTCGCTCACGATTCCAGAAAAATGCAAGTGAACTAGATTTGTGATATTTATTTAAGTCATTAAAAAAAAAAAAAAAAGAGTTATTTCTTTATTAGAAATAATTTAAATATGAAAGGTTCTCCCTAGGGGCTCACTTCAAAATAATTCTAGGGTGTCACAGGATGATACGAGAGACACAAAATAAAAGCAAATGTCTTTCTTTTTATGATTTTTCTGACTCATTGCATGAAATAATTTATCCTCTTTTGGCCACTTCAAAAATGATGCAAATGAAACTGTCACCTTTAAAAAGAAGTTGCACATTGTGCTGCGGATACATTAGATTCCACTTATAAGAAGTATGTGTTGGTAGTTTTTGTTCAGCATCGCCGTGTTCTTGTTCAACCCAAAATGTGTTAATTGACGGGAAAACCTGTTTTCTGCTTCTTTTTTTTTTTAACTACATGTGACAATTTTCTCAAGCTGTCTAAGAGACAATTAACTTGTGACAATCACACCTCCATCCAGTCAACTGGTGCAGTGGCATAGTTAAAGAGCACAATGACTCTGCCTCTGCACAGCTTGAACGGACAGGCCGACGTATGAGTGGGACGTGTGAGGTGTGCAGTCACAGAATAAATTGGCTTCACAGCAGGGAAGACAAACAAGTTTCAAAAGTTACAAATAAATGGGCAGCAAAGCAGAAAAAAACAAACAAAAAAAACCCCAACAACTACACATCAGGCTGATCACACAAAATGCTTTTTTTGTTTGTAGCTTGTCCATTTTGTGTTACCGTACCCGAGCCGCATTGTAGATCCGGAATATTCTGCTGATGATGTCCTCTTCCAGATCAGCGGAGACAAACTCCACCTGGATGGGTCCGTGGCGGTGGACTCCGTTTTCTGGCCAGTACTGTGGGCACAACTAAACCAAATAGGCATGTGCACATACACACACACGCATACACACATATAGAGAAATGCATGTACACCAGCACGCAGACAAATCAACAAAGGGAAACACAAGAAAAGGAAAGATGACTTATTAGTTTCAGATCCAAACTATACTGACTAAAGACTGTGACTCTGATGTCAGCTCCTTTTATACACTTGCAAAAAAAAAAAATTAAGTCTGAAGGCAAAGTGACACGGTACAATAGGCAGAGTCAAAAGAGGTGAATTCATTCAATACAAAGTACTTTTCTTTTTAAAATTGAACATTGAACATTTTTTTTAAAATTTGAGAACATTCAATACAAATTTTTTTTTTTTTTTTTGGATATTGCAGAAACTAAACACAGGTGTTCTCCACGTTTGGGAGCTTTCTCCTAATCAACTAACCCTTTGTTCAACAAATCCAACTGAAATTTCTCAAAATCTTTGGGTAATTCTTTTGCCCCTCTTTAGAAAACATGCACATTCTTTGTTCCTTAAAAGCACTTTAAAAAAATTGATTCATGTCTAAGATGAAAAATGTCATCAAAAGGCAAGATCATCAAAAGATTGATTGATGGAAAGATAATTCATTGCCTGTATTTTTGATGAAAGAAATGTATTGTTCCTGTCCTTTTTCTGGTATATTCCTACAGCCCAAGCGGCTAAACATTTCACACCAACAAACTTGACAAATTTCAGCAAAATTATTCCATCCTTTTAACATACATCATTTCCAGCCAAATAAACTTTATATGTTTAGGCTGAAGCTGCAAGAGACAGTTAAAAAAGGTCTGTGGCCACACCCATTTCCACTCAAGGCGGTCTCCTTGGGTAGTTTTGTACCACTTTTAGCGCTGACACTGCTTTTAAATCACTCTGCGGATGTCTTGTTCTAAATAGCTGCACTTGTTTGTCTATAACGTGTCTGGATCTCCACCAGTGGGTCAAAATAGTCACCATTCAACTTTTATTTTTGGGGAAGAGAACAAAGTGATAGGCTGGGAAATCTGGCAAGTAGGGTGGATGTAGAGTGAAGATTTGTTGCTGTGGCCTTTTCAATGCAATGTGAGTGGACCAACAGTGTCATGCTAGCACTGCTACGGCATAGAGTGCCCTTAAATCATCTTCCTTCTCACATGCCTTTCTCTGACCCTAGGGAGGCATTTATGGTAAACAGCCCTTCATATGTAAACTCTGACTTGATGCTCAATCTTTAGGCGAGGACATTTATTCTCTTCGCTTCATTCTCTGAAAACCGCTGTTTGGCATCTGGGGCATAGTCAGAAATCCAGCTCTTATCAGCAGTGATTGTGGACACAAATGTTTGGATATGTGGTAAAATTGCAGATGCAAATAAGCAAGTGGGTGTCAGACCAGGACTTTGAGGGGCTGATAAAGATACCAATCGTCCTGGAGGCTGTGCAGGGTTTCATAAGCAGTCGACCCTGAACAAGAGACGAGTCAAATTTGGAATGGGCATGGACTTTCTGATCTCTTATTGTAAAATAACAAATTACAAGCAGATGGACAAAGCAATGCTTTGTCAGATGGACAAAGCATTGCTTTGTCCCACTTAACATCTTGCAGTGTCAGATGGACAAAGCAATGCTACCTTGGGTTTTGCAGTAAAAGACTGATTAATCAATATTCAATCAATAGATTGTTTCAAATAAACACTAATCAGCAGTTAACTCTAATTACAAGTCTTAAGCGGCAGTTATCAATATTAAGACTGACTGTTCTTGTGCACTGAGCAGAAACCCTCTAGGATGGCCTCGCAAAAGCAGTAAAAACCCCTCCATTTCCGCTCCTTTATGAGAGAAAGCCCAGTTAAGAACTTGCACCTGTGGAGCCAGTCGCCAGCCTCAGAGCTCTAAATCAGACAAATGGAAGCTTACACACAGATGGACACGTCTCACATTGACAGACATGTCATGTCACAAATGTATGCCACAGTCATAAACAATCAAGGGGGAGAAAAAAGGGACCATCTTGGAGAAATGCAAATAACAGACCTCAACACGGGAATCCAGACGGACACGGAAATAGTTGCTTACTTTGTGTCTCTTACACACAAAAGCAGAAGCACATATGCTGTCTGTGTGGCAGCTTAAGCACCGCTTTCCGCCTTCCTTTTAGAGCCCATCAAAACTTGACAAATTCAACAGATGCAAAAACAAAGATGTTGATGGAGAAGATGGTAAACCTCCCTCGCCTTCATCTACTCCTCAACCTCCACCCACCCCCTTCCTACCTTCCCACCTGCGCTGCTTTCTTGGCTTGCTGACGGGCTGGCTACAGTGAGAATATTGAATGAAAGGCCTTTTCTATCCAGCCAGTCACCTAGGGAAAGGGGATTTGGATGGGGAGAGCAGCCTGGCTTCAGGCTTTGATCCCCGGGTGTTATGACAGAGCCTCGGGCTGAGAAATCTGGAGTCTCTTCCACAAGCCTTCTTTTCTTCGTCTACTTTTACAGCAAGTCCTATTCCTTCCACTCTGCAGTATATACCTTATTTCAAGCATATTCAGTATTCATACAAATATATAGTTTCTCTAACATAGATACATCCCTCGGGGTTTCCCTGGGTTTGTGAAATGTAATCATTCAATCGATTCCCATCAATGTCCTTTTTGCAACTTTTAGATAAAAAAAAAAAAACTGTCATGAAAGAACTCTTGTCTCATTTGTTTGTGAGTAAAATTCTTGCATTAAAATTCTTCCTTCAGGATTTCATGTGCTTGCTATTTATTTAAGCAAATGTACTGGGTCGGGTTTACCTGTGCTGGGTCGACATCATTGAGCATTACTATGGATGTGCAGTGGTAGTCCAGCACCAATCTCCAGAAGTCCTTTACTGTGTTTGGCAATGGGTGCTGTGTCACTATGAATGCAGAAGGCTGCTTGTAGCTCTGGAGGGAGGGAAGAAGAAGAAGAAAAAGAAAGAGCTGATGCTGAATAGACCAAGTGCATGCTTTTGTGCAACACTGTCAAGAATAAAACCATTTCTAAAACGACCTCCGTCTCTCAACCAGACTTCCTGCTGAGAGCAGTTTTCTAATGGAGATTCCATGTCTAGGGAGATTATTTTAGGACAGAGCACTTTTAATGTGATTTCTGGCTCCCCAATGTAGCCCAGTGGGGACTGAGACAATCCTGTACCTGAAAGGTCACCTGCTCAATCCCAGCAGGAGCCAAAAAGTCCATCAGCGAGCATGTGCCTTGTCAAGGTGTTCTTTGTTAGGTCCCCTTAAGAATTGCTAGACATAGCATTTTCAATTGTTTCCTTTGATGTTTCTTAGATACTGACAGATAAGTGCTTAATTAGAAGTGACAGCGATTCAGAGATGTTGTGAAGTCTTAATTCTGTGGCAGAAGCTCTTAACTCAAGTCCTAGGTGGCTGCAGTCCAAGTTAAAAGTCTCAATGAGTAAATTTCAAGTCAAGATTGCAAGACTTAAATCTGAATTTTGACTTACTATACTCTTTATAAAAATTAGCAACATTTAAAAGTCACATAAAAATCAGCATTGTATAGCAGGCTGAAATACCAACATGTCGTAGGTCTTACTTCTACAAAAAAAAAAAGCAAAAAGAAGCAAAATCCCTGCTTTCAAATCAGCAACATTTTAAGGTTCCAATACACAAATACAGGCAGCTGCAGTTTCACCAATTTGTGATTCAGTGCTACTTTACCACTTTAAAATTACAGCGATGAAATCAGCAAGATGATCTGAACCAGCATGCAAGCAGACAGACTTAAAAGTGTAAAATGTTTGACCCTTACATCCATCAGAGCGGCATTGATGTAATTGGAGCTCTCGCCGTCGATGGTAATCAAGAAGGGAAGGCAGCGGTCCGGAGGCAGGACGTCCATGCAGCGGTTCTTCTCGTGGTTTCTAGGCAGCAGGGCGATGCTGCAGTCTTCCACCCGCAGCGTGGGAGTCACCATATTGAGTGTCTTTGAGATTGAAGCAGAATTACATGGTGTCATACTGACGCAGGAAGGTAGGCACTTGGGTTTTGAGTGTGCTAATTATCTCCCGATATGGTAATTAACAATGCGATTCTTTAATCAGTTACATTAGTGATAGCTCCGACTCCCCTGAAGTGACTGGGATAAAACTTAGAGTGGGGTGGCACATTTCATATAACTATATATTAGATGCATCACCTATTTATATAAAGTACGTTTATGCACAGAATTTGTTTAAAGCAGCCTCGTGCTTCAGATAATGTGTCATCATGAATTTGCACACACTGTATGTGTCTAATTACGTTAAATAGCTCCTCACCCTGAACTCCTCTTTAATGGGGCTGGAGTTTGTCTGCGGGTCCAGGCGGTTCATGTCGTAGTAGACGGAGCGGAGCTGACTCGCAGGAATGGTGGTGTCGCCACAGAGACATGCCTCCAAAATGGCATCATGGATGAAGACATACTGCTCCTGAAAAAAACAGCATCCTCATTGCGCATCCATCAGGCATCTATGACTTATGACAGAAGACAAGCTCCCCCCCCCCCCAAAAAAGAAAGTTTTCTTTTATTTTCTATTTCTACCACTGCTATAAGCAGAAATATGTGAGCCAGGGTTTTCCTCTGTTTTTGCTAGAAAAATTCAGTGACCTTTCCATGACCTTACTGGGATTATGCTTTATCCCCACGGCAGTTTCTGTGTCTAATATTTGTCATTGTCTTTGTTCAAAGGTTACAATACATATTTTTGCATTTTTTTGGTACACAGCTTATTTAATTCTCTTATAAAACCCAGAATTGTATGACATTTTCAAAACCTTAAAATATTTAGAAGTCTAGCAGAAAATATTTTCATGAATGACTTGACCTTTTCCATGTTTTTTTAGGATCCTATGAAACCTCAGTGATCTTATCAAGGTTAGGATTTCCTCATGAGTATTGCTATCATCGTCACAGGAAGGTTAATGGTTGAGTTCTTATATAAAACCAAAAACAAGCAAACAAACAAAAAACCCAACACCCACTGTGCTCAATAGCGTGCGGTCAGAAAAACATAAAATCGTAACACATTTCCTCCTCCTCAGTCAGTCACTCAAGCAGTGGACATGGCGACACAGCTTGAAGCTTGATGCAAATCTATTCTGAAGTGACATTTCCAGCTGACACTTCCTTGTCACTTTGTACCAAAATCCACACACATGCACAGGGGTCAGATTTACAGATTGAAAGGGGAACATGTGTTGCCATTTGTTAAGTCTAAAGCAGAATGTGAAATGTTGACCTCAGAGTTTGACTATCCCTGCCTGGGTCAGTAAGACCAGCTCTATCAATCCGCAGATTGATAGAGCTTATCTGAGCTCATAATATGTAAACAACAACAAAGCATTTCATTTCCGTGGTTAAATTAAAGCATGGTAGGATGGTGGTGTGTGGCCGCGGGGCTGAGGAGTTGTGCCAACCAGCCAGAACACCTGTGAGGGAAAATAGACACATACACAGAATTTGAAGGTCACTGAACTTGAGGAGAGTGACTCAGGCTGAGCAGCCTTTGGTCTCCAGTTGCTCAAATCCCAATCCGGACGTCAGCGATGAAACATTTGCCCATTAAATCCAATGACGCTTGTGATTTAAAGGGAATTACGGTGAAATGATGCATTCACCGAGACTATGGACACCTCCAGATGGCCGGTGTTCAGGAAAGCACAGAGTCTTTCGGTTGTCCGCATCAGCGTAAAACTATAGGATGAGCCGGGGATGTTTTGAAACCATCAATATGAGCCAAATCCTCAACACTCTAAACCCTTTTATTACAACGCATATTGCCAAGCACTTGTGTTTACCACTTGGAGGAATAGTTAGGGTGTGCACTCCAGTAAACGTCCTTTGTGAGAAATTATCATTAAAAATGTAACAGTAGTGCGAATTGTAACAATAAAATCCACACTCCTGTTCTAGACATAAATATGCCAGCTTTGAATATGAATATAATTCAAATAATATTAAAAGCAAACTAAAACAAGTAGAGCACTTGCTTAACATCAGATTATGTTAATTATTTGGATTGTTTAATTACATAATGAACATATCTTTGTTTGAGAAAAATGTTACACTTGAACTGGCACTTGAAAGTGAATGACAGGAAAACATTAAACTACCGTATTATACAGCATTTACAAAAATAATGAGCCTCATCAGTCACTGGGAAAATGCTTAAAAACCTCTTGTGGATCACCTAAGCTGCAGAATTAACGACTAATAAATGACAGGCGATGATTTATTTGTTCCAAATATAAAACATTCTTTTAATGACACTGCTTCTGGCTGGTATGAATTCTCAGCATTTGTTCAGGACCAGAGAAGCAGGGGGCTCAATCTAAGAATTATTTATTGATTCTAGTTAATCCACTTTTGAGGACCAAAACCTGTCAAGCTGCAGTCCTGCAGTTCTGTATTTTAGTGATGTCTCTGTGGAGAACTGTTTAAACCAGTCGTACAGTACCTCAGTCTGAACCATGTTGACCCTCCGTGAACGCAACTCCCTCACACAGTTGTAAATGTCCACCACGCCCTCTCTCTCCGCCATGTCCAGCATGATGTCAATGACGATGAAGCAGCCTGTCCGACCGGCTCCAGCGCTGCGGACAGACACGGATTTTTATTCATGAGAAGTGAGGTTTGGTTTTTTTTTTGCTTTAAGTTTAAAGAAATATAACTTTTATGAGGTGGAATAAGATTAAATGATTTCCCTAACAATAAAAAGTTGAGCACACTAGGGTTTCACATCAACAGCTTTACTTGATCTGTTGCCAACATTAAGAGTGCCCAGAGGTCACTTATGTTTCAAATTGGCTATTTAATGCAGTGATTACCAAGCACCACAGGGAGACCAGCTCAACTAAATTAAAAAAAATTAAATTACAATTTAATTAAAGAATTAAGTGGACCTGAACAAGTTGAAGCAGCAAAGCTAACATTAGGTTTAGGTGGCATGTAGCTAATAGGGATGCCTACATTACTAAAAACAGATAAAAAAACAAACTAAATAGCTACGTATGGAATAGTAACAGCAAAAACTGTTGGCTAACAATGTGAACAAATCACTGAAACTTCTAAAATATACCTAGTTGAAACACTGTTTCACTATTAGCTAAATGTAACTAGTTTAAAATGCTAGCTAAAACGAATTAAAACAATGAAGGTTATTGTAAAAATGGGGCCACCAGTTGAACATAAGCTAAAATTATGGATTAACAGTTGCTAACAAAATGAATAAATGATTACTGGCTGAACATAATGGATAAAAAGGTAATTGCATAATGATAAATGTATATCTGTTTGTGAATGATGGAAAAATAATGGGAATTGTTAGCTTGCTAACTTGCTATCCAAGCTTGTAAATATGATAAATGGTAAACAGAAGGGGTTTGTGAGCTCACCTGACAAGGATTGTTGGAAACCACTCATTTATGTAATGTTACATTACGATTTATGTTTTAGCAGTTATTACGATCCCATAATTGTGACCTACACTGTAGTGTACATTAAGCCCAATATACAGTACAGTAGAGGTGAATCAAATTTTGCTTGTTGTGTACACAGTACTATAAACACCAAAAATGGCAAATGATATTTAAAAACCTTAACACCACAACATCTTTCCATGGATACTGTCCCAGTTACTAATACCCAGTTTTGGGGACTAGTTCTTGGATTGAAAGACTGAATGAAAACGTAAGTAACATACCAGCCACAAGGCAGTACTTAGCTATACATATGTAACTTCTGCATTGAGCCGCTATTAGTCTAATGACTATTGTATAAAAATACGCAAATCACAAAAATAGGTACACACGGGTTAGAGCTAAAACACAAGTATCAAGAAGAGTTCTTCGTCTGAGTGCACACCAACCTGCAGTGAACCACCATGGGTCCGGCATTGGTCAGAGTCTTGGACTTGACTCTTCTAATAAACCCCAGAAGGCCGGTGGCGTGATATGGCACACCGTGGTCCGGCCAGCCAGTGAAGTGAAACTGTCGGATTTCCCGGATCTCATGAGCTCCTCTCTGAGGAACACAGTTTAAGCACACAAAGCAAAAGAGAATGTAGTGAGAAGAACATGGATGTGTGAAGTCTTTCCAAAGTAAATACGGGTTGAATTGAATATCAACACACTCTTCATCAAGATCCAAGAAAGGTTTGTACAAAGTTTAATCTAGCGATGAACAGGATGTTTAAGGCCAGTGTAGCCATGCGTCTTCACCTACTGTAGCAGCTATCTGTCATGCTGATATTATACAATATGCACTGCATTAGTTATCTGGGCACTTTGCATGTACCATAAAGAACAGTATATTCCTCTATGTTATATTAGTATGTGTGTTTATTCTTTGAATGGATGTTGCCTGAAGATTTTATAAAATGTCACAGTAGAATGTAACAATTAGGAGTTTTTATATGGTATAAACAATAGTTAAAGAGAAAAATCGAGAGGTAGAAATGATTCTATTAGGTTAGGTTGCATATTAATATATGTTAAACATCCATCCATCTATTTAATAAACATTTTCATAAAGTGCTAGAGAAGCCTTATATATATGTCCTTCTCCAGCTATTCAGGTAGGAAAGCTACATCTGAAAAGTTATGACTGTATTTATAACTGGAAAAAAGTGTTTAAAAGGTTAAAGTGTACCTTCTCTACAGCAAAGGTCCTGATGACATACTCTGACAGCAGCTCAGTCTCTATCAGTGTCACCTTGATGTCTCTGTAGATCTCCGTATCATCAGGCCAGTACTTACAGCACTTCACCTGAGAGTGACAAAACCAAGTGTTTGACACAACATCTTCACAAGCTGTATGCTAACTGCAATGAATTTATATTCACAATGCTTCACTGCACACATTCATATTAGAATTTCTGCAAGTTGCCAGGCCATCATTTTTTCCAATAAAGATAATTGTCACATAACATTAGCCCCCATTTGCCACCTGATATTTCAGCGTTTGAAGCATTTCTTTCAAATCAAAATGAGATTTGCTTCATATTAGTTTCGGCCCCCGGTCAAGGATCTGCTGTAAATGGGAATCTTATGTATCGATGGGAGAGTTCATTCGCACGTTATTGCTTTTTCATTCTCATGTCGATAATGTGAAAATGAGTCTAAAGGTGGACTGTGCAAAAACCTGGAACAGAACAGTGTAGGTGCAATGGGGGTATGTGATTTCTCCACCTTAAAAAATTGACTACCAGTGTGGTGAAATAGGATAAAACATAAAAAAAAAAAATTGTGTACAACAATTAAATGAGGGAAATATAATGACAATCCAATATTGATATGAAATAATAAACCCTGAGCTGTTTAAAACAGATTTCCCAACAGAAATCTAAAACACCCCACTGGAAATATTACTTGTATTAGGTATCATAAGAGCGCAAAATTACCCCCCCCCCCCTTCCCAATTAAACTGTTGATACAGAGGGAAGTAAGGCTGGTAATAGAGATTGAGATCACGGAGGTATATCAGAGAATGATCATTTTTGATGAGGTATAAATGCGACATCAGCCACAAGTAGATTCAATTTTCATTCCTGGCGTCTATGCGCTGATTACGAATGAAATGAGATTTTGGTTTGTGGAATGACACAGACAGAGGGGGACTTGGAGGTCCCTCTCTCTGACACCCCTGATGACTAATCCCTGATGACAATCACAAGTCCACCGTCCGCTTCCAGCCAGATTGAGTTAGGCAAAAGCCATTACCTTATTAGATCACTTTATCAGGCGCCTAGTTTGGGGGGGAATTAGCCTTTGGGCTAAAATATGCCAGCATAGACACAGATGTTCTTTTGTGCGGGCACACTTATGAGCACGTGACCAGCGTGCACAGGTCTTACACGTCATCACTCATATGGATAGAGTGTATAGAAAAGAAGCACATGGAGCATCACCTCATCACACACATCAGCACGCTGACTTCCAAACCAAATCTCTCGTACATTAAAGTGTGCCGAGCACCGCCCCCCTGTCTGAAACCAGCGGGAGAGAGGCTGCGTGTGCTTCTGTGTGTGTGTGTGCCAGGATTTCCCAGAGTTCATCAGTGACTGTGCCGAGCAGATGGCCCACTGTGATACGGTGGAGTGATTTTATAGGGCCCTCTGTGGAGCTACCGTCACTGTGACCAACTGTGCCTACCGCCCGCCATTGGACAAGGATCATATAACAGACGGTTTGAGGGCCGGGGCCCGCCGAGTACGGCGCAGAAGCTAAGCAGGTGTGGAGAAGGTGCGGGGTGGGCTGGACTCCGCTACTCTAGAGGAAAGGCCTAATGAGGTACCTAGAGATGGGGCTATGAATCATTATCAGCTCTGCTACATTTAAGCCCCACCAAAAATGCACATCAGCAAAATCAAGGTGCGCCTCTTTTTAAAAGGGCTTTCAGTGTATTTAAAATTCTTAGAGAAAAATCCCGTGGCAGTCAAAGCATTACACTGTATGTTAAGACCTTCATTTTCTCTTGATTATAACCTAACCAGGAGGAACTAAAGTGCGAGTTAAGTGGAACAAATTAGGACTGAAGCAGGGCTCTGGGTTTTTTCCCCCCCTGAGGCAGGCCACATGCTGTAGTGAACAAGAAAAGTCAAGGCTTTACCATTAGTTTGAACATTATGAACTGCCCTCACTACTCAATAACAGTCCCCTTTTGTCCAGTGAGGACAGCATTAAGAGATGTTTCTGCTCGGAGGAGCTTGGAAGGAGCTGGCGGCTTCAGCGGAGTCTAATCTCCTGTTATAGAGCCACTGAGATGAAACAGTAGTCAGACGCCTGGATGCCTCTCTGGTAATGAAGGCCATCAATCAGTTTCTTCTCACTTCTCACTGATCAGATAGATGGAAAAAAGAGCTGGCGGCACACGAGTCCCATGCCTCACTAAGTCAGCGCGTGCGTGCACACAAACATCTGGGGACTGATGTTCAAAGATAATAACAAAAGGTGTCTCAGTTTGCCTTGAAATACAATCAGGCTGTTAGTCGACTGGGGGCAAGGTAATCTTATTTGAGATGTGCAGTTCAAGTGAACGTGTCATAAATACTCACCCTGCCCACTTCCACCAGGTTGGTCACCATGACGATAGCTGCAGTGTTCTCCTGCCAGACCATCCTCCAGAAATCAAATACCGTCTCCTGCATGGGGCCTAGGAGAGACATAGAGAGGAAATTACATTTTACAAATATTTTTTTCCCCCCAAACCTACCTTAAATATCTTACAATAGCTTCACACAAGTATTGGGGTGTTGAGGCTTCAGTCAGGTTTTATTGCAGTCTAGCTCTTTCCCTTAACTACTAACAAATCTCTGTGGGCTTCAACGCATGTTACACATTAATAGTACCCTTTAAAAAACTACAAGTTTGGCATCTTGTAAACACATCTGGTTAATCTGGTTCATCCAAAAACACGTTAATGTATAACCTTCAGTGGTTCATATATGAGCAATAATCAGTTGCATATTATTGCTATTATTAGTGGTATGTTGGCTCATATTCGTCGATAAAGTGCACTTACTACTTTTATTTTGCATGGCCATATTCCTAAACCACGAGGCCATTACCTAAGAGTTTTCCCCTCCTAATTACTGCAGAATAAGTCTTAGGCTACAGAATTATTTATGAGCGAGCCTCACTTTAGACTGCAAGATATATTCAGAGTTATTTTAGGGTTATTTGGATAATATTAACACTTGCAGTTTGCCATTTTGTTATATAAGAACGGACATTTCAGAGAAAGGACTCGTAGCATTACCACCTTACAGGCACAAAACTTTGTAACTATCAATGATTAGTATGCAGGAGGGTCACTAGGGTAAACGCTTAGATAATAGTCCAGTAGTTGTAGAATACGGTAGTGCAGAATAAAGCATTTGTAAGTGTTTACTAATGACTAACAGGGGACCATTGAACTCTAATATGCATTCTAACAGGCAAGCGGCAGATTGTAAATTTGTGTACCTTAAAACAATTACCTAAGTTTCCATGTCTCCAAGTTTATTTTCATATTTATTAGTGGAAGAATTTGTTTGCCACAATGGACCATCTATCACTAAATTTGGTAATGCGCTTTACTGCTGACGTGCATGCTGTGGGTAATGTTTTCTCATCAGTAATGTCAGCTTCTTCCTCAGATTAACTTCCAAACATAAATTTGGTGGTATTACTGACATATTGGAACAAGAGAGTTTACAGGGCATTTTCACTTCACGGATCTAGCGCTGAAAGACGTGTCAGGTATAATTTATTCATGGTGCTTCTACATCAGATTCATCACATAGTGCTTACTCTACAACACACAGCTTAAACACTGATGAAAACGAGAAAGGAAAACGAATCACAAATTTAAATATGAGCCCAACGGCTGCTGTTCTCCGTGCGTCCGCACATGCGTGTGTATGGCAAAGCTCAAAGTAATTACCACTACATCTCATCTGTTCAACACCAACCTTTCCACCGAACCGGACCCAAATGTGTCTGGTGAACATCAAAATAAATGAGCAGAGAGCCAGTCAATGCCTCCAATATTTAAAACTTCACTGAGCAATAATTGTGGGCTGAATTTAATTATTATTCTGGTTAATTAAAATTATTAATATTAGTTTTAATCAAGCACCAAGTAGAAAAAAATTACTTCTGACAAATTAATTAGTGAATGCAAATCTCTACAACTGTGCATTCTCCCGAGTTGGCCCGAATTACCTGGAGACATAACAAATTATGCAGACACACACAGGCACAAGCTAAGACAAAACATGGCAGATACACAAGCTGCTGGCGTTTTCTTCGTTGTCATTTATGTGGCAGGTAAATTTAATAAACATTAGGCCACTGAAACCTGTAAAAACTCAAGTCATGAAAAAGAAAGAAAAAAAAGAGAGAGAAAGTTTTCCTCAGGAATGCACAAAGTACGCACCACGACTCAGCATCTTGTAGAACAACCTTTATCAGCAATTAGTAAAATAGTAAATCTGTATGGCTTTGTAAGTCTCTCACATCATTATGGAGGAATTTTCACAACATTGCTTCAGTTCACTGAGGTTTGAGGTCATTTGTTTATGCACAGCTCTCTTACAACATTTGGACTTTGGCTGGACAATTGCAACACCTTGATTCTGTTGTAGATTTGCTGTGATACTTGGCATCATTGTCCTGTTCCCAAAACTCTCAGACAGATGGCCTCACATTTGACTATAGAATATTTTACTAAACAGAACAGTTCATGGTTGACTCAGTGACTTCCGGGTGCCTAGGACCCTGTGGCTGCAAAACAAACCCAAATCATCACCCCTCCACCACCGTGCTTGATGATGGGTATGGGGCATTTATGCCAATATTCTGTATTTGAGTTTCTCCAAACATGGTGTGGTGCATTATGACCAAACATCACATTTTGGTTTCATCTGTTTAGAGGAAGTTTTTCCACAACTTCTTCAGCCGTAACTTGATAAACATTAGCCATGTTGCTCTAGAGAGAATTCATGAAGTGCATTTGATTAGCAGCACCTGGCTGCTACTTACATTCTCAATTCCTATGGAAGCATAAGGATACACTTAATTTCATACAAATTTGAACAACTGTTATCCAGTTAGGAAACAAGGATACTTTGACCTGTGATGTACCCTAAAGGTATCTTAAGGAACACATAAAAGTTTTAGCATATTGTAGATATTGTTGGTTACTCTGGAAGCACATTACACCTCCTTTCACTTTAGTAGTAAATTAAAGAGTCTAGTCCATGACACAACACTTTGGTTAAGCAGAGGACTTGTACACCAGATAAGGTGAGCAGTACAAAGTAGAAAAAACGAAAAAGTCATTGGGGAAATTTGTGTTGTGGGTTATGCAGATGACTTTCACCTGGGAAAGTAGGGTTCAGATCCCCTATGCAGCCAAAAGCATTATTTTTAGTGTGTATAAAGAACATGTGCATGGCCTTGAAGGGAGAGGATAGTAGCAGGAAAAGGTTTTCCTATTTAAAAAAAAATCTCACTTTTTGGATTTATGCCTCCTGCAGCTGTAAGCACTAGATCACTAGGACACCCAGGGAAAGATCTATATAAAAAGCAGTAACAACAACAAAGGTGGGCATGAAGAGAGTTGTTCTCCCTACTGCATAGCTATACGGGCTTTCGTATCTGGCTTGAGTGCCATGATCATAAAACCACTAACTACACAATTAAAAGAAATTAACAACAATTTGGGAAACCTTAATGAAGAACTAAAGCGATTATGAAATCATTACGGGCTAAAATAGAATGTAGTATAAAAACACATTTGAATATATCATATTGTATTGTTACTAATTTGTTTTGCCTTAGTATGAGGAGCTGCAGCAGTTCCTGGATCCTATCATTGTGCTGTTTGTGCTTCTTATTGACTCACGCCTTCTGCAACAACCTAATTTCCCTCAGGACATCAACAAAGTGTCATCACCATTTTATTCACTTGATTGATCAAGCCATGTTTGATCTGCTTAGTGGGGTGCCTAAACACATCCTCACTGTCATGCATTTAATTGTGCAATACTGTTTGACAGAGTTTAAAAACATCTATTTCTAAAAGCAGATAAATTTAATTAAAAAGACTTTTTAAAGAAATGAAAAAGAAAAACAAAAAATGATTCAAAACCAACCATCATTTCTGCAAACACATTTCCATCCTGTTTGTGCTTTTACAGTAAAAATACAAATAGCATCTCTCAACTAGACAGCTAGAGAGTTGGAACAAGGCTACTCCATAACTTCCATCTCTATTCCCCTACTTCCTGTGCTTTGCATGTGGTGGTATATCTCGATTTAACTGTAGGACTTCGGTTTCCGTCTCTACGATAACTACCCAACCTGATTGAGCCACCCACTCCGCTACCTCCCACACTTGTCCCTGAGGAAAGATGCACATTGCTGAGAAGTTTGGGAGAGGAAGAATGAGAAGCAGGACAGCTGGTGTGTAGGACTTCAGTAACACAATACTACTTGGCATTATATGATAAACCATCCAATGGGAGGCTCCTGCCAAGCTTAAGCCAACCAATTTATGCTTTGTTGTGAATGCAGAGATGGAGAATGGGTACAGATAGCTTCCTGGACTGTAACTTGATGACACCCATGAGGAAGTGAGTGTGCTTCTTGATAAGTAGATATACAAGAACAAAGGAATCGCTAACACAGTTGATTTGACAACTTTCACACAGAACGGGTGAACAGCTTCAAATGTTGAGGAAAGAATTTATTTTAGAGACTCATTGGTTTCTTAACCAATCTCCATTGAAAAATAGCATGCTTTTAAAATCCTAGATTTCTGCTGCTGTAAGCTGACATGTGCCACTGCAGTCAATGAGCCATAAAAGTGGAGCTTTTATATTATCGAGTTCGCAAAAACCTGTTTCAGTAAGTTAAAAAAATGTCTAGAAAGCACCTCTTTTCTTTAGCCATAGGCGGTGCTGGGCCACAGCATGCAGCCTGAATGTCTTTGCTGCACTTTTGACTGACTGATTCTCCAAGTATCTGTAACTCTACTGAAGCCACTGAACACAATTGTTTCATAAGCACTGTTTAATATTACTTTGCAAAGTCACTCAATGGTCTTTAGATTTGGTGACAGCCAAGTCTACTAGCAAAAATGTCGTATTTTAATTTGCATAAAAACATTCACTTACATTTTGTATCTGATGCTGACAGGACGCTGTCGTCCTGAAAGAAATCACTTCCATCAGTACAGTTTGTTTTCTATTTTAAGGGTGACAGGTTCAGGCTTTTCTTTTCTTTATTCTGTAGTATGATACTGAGCGCATTGCAAATTTTAACCAGAACCCCCGCATTACCTTAACCTTAATGTTCATGTTTGCTGTTGATGCTTGTGACAGTTATTTACATTAAATAGGAATCATGTTTTCTGGATTACGCGGGTGCCAGATAAGAAATAGCACATGCAGTTGGCTTGTGAGAAGAACATCAGCTTTGAGTTGTGAGGTGAATCAATTCATTGGCAACAAGTCGTCCTTTTTACACGAAGTTTCAGTGTGTTGGTTAGTGTTCTCTTAAAGTGGTGGCAGCTAAACTTTGAATATTTGAATGAGACCAGATATTTTCCTCTTGTTTCCAGTGTATATGCTATTCAGTACTGTGGAAAAGTCTTGAACCCCCCTCTCATTTCTTTATATTTTTCTAGGAAAATGGGAAAGATGTGCTGCAATGTATTGAAACGTGCATATATCCATGGAAATGCTGTATATAAAGCAATTCTAAAAAACTTTAAAGTGAATATTTTGGTATCTTATTATTCAACATCTTTTTTCTGTAGTCTTCAACAATAGTTCTCCAGGCTTCTGGAAGACACTTGAAGCTCTTCTTTGGATGCTGGCCTTTTGTTTGCCTTTTGTTAATAACACTGAGTTCAAGGGAGGTCAAAGACTGATGGTGTTCAATGGTATGTTTTCCTGCCAAGTTATAGGTGCATGTTTGGGATGCTGAATGAACCTGCATGTTGGATCAAGATCTCGTTACTTTTATGTGTTCACAGGTCCACCAATTTTAACAAGACCATCAACACCACTGGCTGAAACACAGCTCTAAATGATTACAGAGCCCACATCGTGTTTTACACACTCATTTTTTGTACCTGACCTCCTCCATCACTCCACAAGCTCTGCTGCTACTGATTTTCAGAGCTGCTATTGTGTAATTTGGGATACCTAAGCCATTCCTCATAGTTTCTCTTCTTGAAGAATGGCTTTTTCAAAAACTGCCCTTCGACTAAGACCATTTATGATGAGGACTCACAACAGCAGATAAATCAACTGAAGGGGCAGATGCATCTCTCAGATCCTGTGCCAGATCTTTGATGGATTTTTTCTTAAGAACATGACTTTCAGATGCTGGTCAATCAGTAGATAGTATTTTAGGCTTGCCATAAAAACACGATTTTATGGCTGTCAACTAAAGAAATGGGAACATTTTAACGTGGAAATTGTAAAAAATTGCCTAAAGTTACAATTTAAAATTGGTCCTTTGCCAACTTTTTTGTTATGCATAGACACAGAAGTGGTTCATCCCCTGAGTTAGGTCCTTTTTATGCTTGAATTATTCATAGGCCAGTGCTAAGATGCTTAACAAAAACATTTCTCTGAAAATTGTCGGGTACAAGAACTGGACTGAAATGAGTAAAAAAAAATGTATTCAGTGCCCAAAGAAAACCTTTGAAAGACCTTTAGAAACGCTTGGAGAACTATTTCTCACAAAACTAAAAACAAAACAGAGAAAGCCTGGCTTCTTCCAAAGAAACTATAAAGAGATCAGTGGTAACTTAAGACTTGCACAGCACTGTACTTAACCATTGCTAACCTCCTCTTGGCTTTTGTTCAAGAGAGCAAGTGTGGCAGTACTGTCAAATTTGAACAATCTTTTTAAAATACAGATTCAGGCAATCAAAATTAATTTCTGGTACCTTTAAGATAAAAAAATAAAGTCTCAAGAAAACAAACAAACAAACACTATTAAAAAAAAAAAAAATCACTTTCGACACAAACAAATAATCTTGATAGCTAACTGTACCGAGGGGGAAGCTTACATTCTCAAAGACTAGGCCACAGGATATTTTCAGAGAAATCAGTCTGAGAGCTCACTTGAAGAATACAAGCAGAGCGCACTGTTTGTAGTACAGAGTGTGTGGTGCCTAGTTGGTGAAGTTTGGAAGAGGCACTTCACAGAGGCAGAACACAAGTAGGAGCTTCACTTCCAGCTGTCAGAGAGCTAACGCTGCTGCAGCTGATGCTGTGTTTTGGGACTAGGCCTGCACCTCCTCAGAAGCAAAGAGTGTGACAGCTGTAGAATCCCCAAGCCAGGTACGGCAAAAAATTTCTGATCAACATGTTCACACAGACACTCACAGACAAACATGCAGGTGATGTTCCCCTCTTGCCCATTAATATTACATGTGGCAGGCTGTGGCATAATGTACACTCGCTTATCATTGATTTGCTCTCTCTCTCTTCCCATCTCCCAACCCCACACCTCCCCTGCTGGGCTTTGAGATGTTAACCTGTAAATAATAAAACTTTTGGGCTCCTGGTGACATTTGCTGCTTGTGAAGGAGGGGAAAGCGGAGAAGACCGGAGGGGGAAAGCTTGATGAAATTGAACCCTTTCCCATGTCATGAATATTTTCCACATCACCAAGAGGATGCAGGGGGTTATCGCAGCTGTTTGCATCCCCGGTGTCAGTGTAATTCAGTCTCCACTAGAAGGAAGCTCATGTCAGATCAGTATTTAAAGCGATCTGCAGGACATAATAATGGACAGAGGCGAGGCGTCAATATGGGAGGGCTGAGGTGCATGCACACATTCAATCTGCTAAGTAGGTGAGCTGCAGTTAGAGAATTACTGACAGACAGTTATTGTATTGCTGCAGAAAAAAAGAAGCTCTGGATGAGAGACTGACCTACATAATGAGGAGCAGAGCTTGGGTGATGAGGCTTTTATGGAGTGACAGCTGTTCTACCTGCCATTGTCACCTTGACAGAGCAAAGGGACTCGTCAATAAACCCCAAACTAATGAGTGTCATTGTAGTTTATAGCATTATAGAACGGGGACAACGTTATCCCACCTGTCTGCCATATTAAGCACACCGCAAACCACCTCCACAACCAATTTATGACAAAGATGTTTTAGCTTATCCAGCAGTATTGCGGGTCTCATTTTCCTGAGCTACTGCTGGTCCCAGTGGACTTGAGTGGAAGTGTCATTCACTGAAAAACTTTACTGGGGGAGAGAGGAAGACTACTCCCTCATTTTCAGCAAGTGTGCCAATGCCCAGGTGCTCTTTTCAGGTGCTACAGTATGCCGTTTGTCTGGCTGAGAGAGACAGGTCTGTGTCTGGCTTTCCTATCATCTCTGGCTGCTCTTTGCTTCAGTGTCAGCAGACTGAGGCTTCCTTCCTGTCAGTCTGCCGGAGCTGATGATGAATTATAAAAGGGCCTGGTCTCCCAGAGAATACAGATGTTTCCACACTCTCTCTCTCACACACACACACACACCTCCACGCTTTCGTACTGGATGGATCTACCCAGTGAAAAACCTTATGCTTGCGATACAGTCGATGGAAAATGAGGACTTATTATGCAAGCTCAATGAGAAAACTGGGGCTAATTAACTTGAATGGAAACACGTTTGGCTTCTCGAGCTTTCCATCTTAGAGAGGGCCTTGTTTGCAACATTTCTTTGACTGCTGATCTCCTCATGCATATTTTTTTAATGAAAATTGGAATGCTCTTAATGACTATAGGACAATTATAGAAGTCATAATAATCCAGATGAAACTCTTTCAGAGTTGAATTTGCCAGTTATACCGCCTTATTTTGGTGAACTCGAGGCGCACAGGAGAGAGTCGACACTTGACAGCTCAGTTTCGAGTGCTGGACTCAGCGGTCAGCGCGAGGCAGTTCAAACTAGGTGCCATTCATACAGACAAATGTGCAAACAGAGCGACCACTGCCTGATTAGTATGCTCTCTCTTTCTGAAGTAAGAGCAACCAGAGCGTTGTTTTAATTGAGACACTGAGGAAGAGAGGCAATGCACTAATAAACAGGTAATTATGCAACTCCCAGCTCCGCCAAAGCAGATTGTGAATCCATTAAAGCCTCTTCGCAAAAATAATAATAAAAAAAACCCTGCCTTTATCTTTTTTTTTTCCTCTCCTCCACTGTTTTTTTTTCTTAAGTGGTATGTAAAATCCCCATGCATGCTGCCCTGTTGTGTGGGAGTGAGGCTCGCGATGCAAAATTCATAACAATTAACCATCAATCAGACTTAACCTCTGGGGTCACGGTAAGTGCTCCTCACTCTGCGAATCTGCCGGCCAGATTAACACAGTGACAAAATGCGCCTGTACATGTCAGCTAATCCATTTATTTATTCAGCCTACTCCCAGACTGCCTGATTAATGGCTCCCACACCACCGACGGGATGGAAACAGACAGCGAGAAAGCGTGCCGCTACGCTTGCTCAGAGGCGCGTAGGTACGTGCGTTTGCGTGTGCACACCGAGAGGCACCAGACTCCCCGAGCACACACCTGACTGAGCATCAAAGAGTAGTTTGCAAGAGCGTATGTAAACAACGACGGGGATGTTCAGATAGATATTCGCAAACACCTGCACACATCCATCTGCCCAAACAAACAGACACCGTTAAATTCTCACCGCCCACACACACCAATCTAGTCTTGCAATTTTTAGAAAGTTTTTTATTCTTACCCTGAGTGGCGATGTAGTGATTTGGCCTGTGGTAGCCCTGCAAACAGAGAAAAAAAAAGGAGAGAATATAAGAATCACTTTATGTTCCATCTACTTCTGAAAGACCAGCGCAGAGAGGCTAAAAAAAGAAAAAAAGAAAAGAAAAGAAAAAAAGACACTGCTCTTGACATTTAGTTGGTTTTTTTGACCTTTGCATGCAAACTCAGTCTGTTCCTACAATGCGAACCATCACATTCATCACTGAACAGATTTGACCTGTATAGAAATCCCAGTTAACGCATTGTTTTTGTTTGTTTCAGATGCCCTGCGTTTATGCAGCCAAGATGAACTCTCGCTCCTACGCCGCTCCGCCGCAAGAGGAATTATTTGAGAGATTTGCGTGCTTGCTTTCAAGAAATACTCTGCATTGTAGTTCTGCCAGCTGTTTGCCACTGCACACCCTTTCAGCTCTTTGTTTCAACATCCAACTGCAAGATGCACGACTGAAAGCTCATGATGGATGCTGCTAGATACAAGATGCAAAAAACACTCTCCATCATACACTATATACGGCACACCTCTGGAGTAAGCAGCCAAAGTGTTGATAATCCCCAAGATACAACTAACAGCACTGATCTTCACAATAGGCCCCTAGTCTCACGGATTACTCTAATCCCTTCAAGTTTTATTTGTCCAATTCCTTGTCTTCTCTCCAGAGATATGAGGCAGGAAACAAAACATTAGGACTTAAAGGCTCTTCCCCGCCCCAGCCTCCCCTTGATTGTCTACCCCCCCCCACCACCACTTCCCATCCACCCCTGCTGCTCTGCTTATCTCACTCATATTCAATTTAACTTGGACTGTGATTAACGCTCCTCCAATGAAGGGAGAAAAGACACAAAGGATATTTTCCTCACTCACTCATCCACAGGGCTCCTCCAGCTATTCAGCTGTCCTCCATTTTTAATGACTTCTTTATCTCTGGACTGAGGAGGAGATTTGTTTGTGCTTTCATGTATGCTCTGTCAAGTAAAGTGGAGGCCCAATACTCTGTCGGATTAGCGAGGGAGAGACGGAAAGAAAGGAAGGGCCCTGACAGTGAGTGTCAGGTGAGTAACGCTTACTATAAATGGGCTCGTGGCTTTCTGTAAGCATGTTATACCAGGCACGCAAGAGCAAATCTTTAACACGAGAAGGTAAAGATGTAGAAATGTCAATATTGCTCTTATTAACTGGAAAAAGTACTTTTATTTTCCAGGGCTGCATAAGTTAGGAGCAGGAATTAAATGTGCCGCCTGTGTTTTGCTGCATTGCTAATTACAGTGATCATTAATTCTTTCCAGTAAGAAAAGCTGGCGAATGGAATGTCTAAAATATGCAGCATGAAGTGCTTTTGCCTGTGGGCATGAACTGGTATTTTCAATTTGAATATCATTAGATAGCCTACTTTTGCAAATCTGGAATACCTATCCCTATTACCTGGAAATTTTTGCTTTGCCAAATACATTTAGGAGAAAACAGAGTAAGTGATATTTTCACATTTTTCCCCTAGCACCCCCCCCTCAATCTAGAATATGTAACATCCTTATCCTACAAATTCTACAAATAAGTCATATTGCTAAAGGGGAAAAAAGCAAAGAAAATGCCCTGAGGCCCCTTATGCCAAGCAATCCCTAAGGCCTTTAAAATTGAATTATTATTATAATTATTAGGTTTTTATGATCATATTCTTAAATCTTTTTTGAAGACTCATACGAATACCTTCAAGTTAGAAAAAAAAAAAGTTATAAATACACCCAGCACCCCAAATAAAACATCTTTTGACTTTTATTTCATGATTATGTGTTTTCTCTTTTCTCCAAATTTCCCTTCTTCCTTCTTTACTGGATCCTTTTACCTGAAGCTGAGTCTGTTACAGGAAAAGGGAAATGTTGCGTTGAACTGTTGAAATCTTGGTCCCAAACCTGTGGGAAGAAGTTTCACTTCTGAGCCGTTTAAAGTGGCCACAGATGTACAGATCTGTGTGCCAAAACATACAGAGTGAGCACCTCGCAGTAAAAAAAATTGGTTAACCAAATTACCATAAGCAGTCGTCCCCTCTGCTTATTTTTGCCCCCAAGCCCCTTGCAGGATTAAGCCAGCAAGGATGGGTGGTTGGATGTTTAAGACACAAGGTTAAAGTTTGCTTCTTTTCTCCCATGTGCTGTTAGCTTTAGGATACAAGACCACTTGATGAGGGTTAGAGCCTGTTGACTTGCTTAAATACTGTAAAAGCTAGCTCATCCCGTTTTATGGCTCAAGTCATTATGGATTCAGAAAAGTTTGGAAAATCAAACTACTGTATGCTGATGGTGATAGTCTTGCAGACGGGGAGTAGGTACTGTTTCAGTAACGAGTCTGCAGCTTTGCTAAATATCATTTTGTGGTTACACTGATAAAATTGTAATGTGAATCAGATGATGTTTTCTGCCGAGGCAAATTAGCAGTCAGTGAACATGAACACATTTTAGGAGAGAGGAGCTTTGTGAACAACTGAGTGATTTCTGCACAAGCCTGCAAATTCACCGAACCACTGCATCACCCCAATATCCAGTTAAGAGACCCAGCAAAAACCCATATGTACACACATGACTCTACAGCAAACAGGCTATTACACTACGTTTCCTCTGCCTTCCAAAGGTTTATGAAAATACTCAATCAGCTGGAGAGAAAGGAAACATACCAGAATGGCTCGGAATAATCGGCAGTGTTATAGAGTACAATAACAAACACTGTGGGAAATGTTCTACACATAAGAGTTTATTAGGCAGGACAAGCTTTTAGATGGGTTAAAAAGCTTTCTGAAGAGCAAAAACATCATTACCCATCTGCCTGCATTTCTACTAAGTACTTTTCCAATGAAGCTGGCAGAGCGATGGAAATCCGTTTCAATCAGGGCTCTCTTTAATATGCGTATATTCTTATCTTATAATGGGACCCTCTCTATTGCGAGCGTCTTCTCCGCAGCGCCACTTTTTGCAGCATAATGGGCCATAAACTGAATGGTGGGAAAGGTAAATAATTTAAGCCCCCTGCATTTGCTGTGGCACACCTTGCATTATGAATTTATGTTTGAAGGCGTAACAAGAGATTACAAATTACCACATTAGAGGGGTGGGGGAAGAGAAGATGGGAGACCGAGGGAGGGTTCTCTCCTGAGCGAAAAAACCACTTAGGGAGTCAGGTACATCACCAGCCCATTACACATGGAGTGGAAGCATCTGCCTAAGGAGACCAGTGAGCTGCAGTGATTGGTCACATCCTGCTACTAACACTGCTATTAAGAGCAAATCAGGTCAGATCAGGAGCTTCTATACTGTGTGAGCTAAGTGAGTTAGGACTGTTTAAAACCTGAGCCATGTCTGACGCCACTTTATAATAACTTTTACTTACTGTAACAGCATGCCAAGTCATTCCAGTGCATGTAGAAGCTGTTTTGCAAGGACTTCCCTGAGGTAAGAAGTGTAACCGAACCTCTGCAGATACTGCTGTGTCTACTTTAATTTAGGGCGTCCTTGAGAGTTTTTCAGCATCTAAGAGTAACGAAATCAGCAGCTGCCTTATGCAGATATCAAGCAGAGAGATCAAATACAATCTGTGAAGATTTTCCTCGCTAGAATAACAACCACGGCAGTCGTTTCAAAAGTTTAACTAATTTTAAATTTCCTAACCACCAGGTCCTAAAATTATGTTCACGACTGTTCTCTGGAATAAGTAAATATAACACTACAGGGACTTTCCTGTCTTGCTACAAATGTCTTATGAAGTAGACAAGCGTGGATAGGTAGACATATAAATCATCAAACTTTAATATCAGAAACGACATTTCAGTAAGGCTCACTAGACTCAAAAGACGAATGTTATTTGAATTATATTTTACATTATAGCTCTCATTTGGGACCTACTGCACTTTCAGCCGGATGCAAAGAGAACAGCAGCAAAATCCCTCTTTTCAGAAGAGTGCAGGCATAATATTAACTCAGATCTAGGGTGCAGGCAGGTTGCAAAGTAGCTTGTAGATATGAAACAGTTGCAGGCAGGCTAAGGCCCCATTCGCACTAGAGGAAAAAACAGGGTGGCAAACTCCATGCACAAGAAAACTTGGTGATTGGTAAAGGTTTTTTGTTTTTTTTTCTTCTTTCTTTTTTGCTGTCTGGGACTGATTGCAAATAGTTGAGGTAACTAATTTCCATCGCAAGGCACACAGCTGCACATGATTGCAATAATTTTGGTCAAACCATGGTTTTCAATCACCATTTTCCCTTGTGTGACTGTAGGTGAAAGCAACGTAACTAGTGCAGCCTAGAGACCATCTACCACATATAGAGAGGGTCATCAGCTGATCTGTTGCAGCTAATGCTATGCTGGAACCTCTCAGTTTAGTTTACAGAGGGTGTTATCAACAAGTCGAGACCAAGCCTACACCCAGCATCAACCAGACCCAGGCAGATATGCAAGTCACTGCATCAAACCCACCTCATAGCAGATAAATGGTTGTGAGTGGACCTACAAAGGCAAGGCCAGGCAAAAAATATGTTTCTGTGGGAACCAGGCCAGGCACATTCTGCCACAGCAAATAAATAATGAGCTATCAGATCCGCCTGGTTTGTAGGCTGTGCGGGTCAGAAAAACTCACACGAATTATTTATTGTAGTAAATTGAGTTACATACAGCAACCCGTTTGATTGTTAATCTTGAACATTGTTTCCAGTGTTACAAAAGCAACAGAACAGTTTTCGAAGCTTTGCTAACAACTTTAACTTTTTTTGTCTGTATATGTGCTTTGTTTCTATTTGAAATTCTGTGTATTATTTCAGCTTTATTCACTATAACTTTACTAAGTAATCATCTATGAAACCTCACTCCCTCTCTCTTTTTTTTGGTTCTCAACTATAATGTTGTTCAAAGCAAAGTCCAAAACTATAACCTCAGTTTCCCCTCTGTGCGGGTTTGCCTTTTCTCTCTCCCAGTGCTGTCAGCCTCTGATCTTCATTTCTCTTAATATATCCAATGAACAGAGTGATACAGCAGCCCTCTAAAGTCAAATAAAAGCAGTGTGTTTGTGTGTGTGCTTGTAGCTGTGATGGACAGGCGGCTGGGCTGCACTGTCCCTCAGGCCCCCTGTGACGGCGGCACCAGCACGCCCTCTCTCCCCCCAAGAGGAAGCGGACTGACCTTTGCGTTGGTGGCGCTGGCTGGTGTGTGTACTTACATCAACGTAATTTGCATTAATGTAATCGGAGCTCTGTTCCCCCTCCAGGGCCTGCAGCCTGACACGGGAGTGATCATCTGGAAGAGAGGCAGAGAGGAAGAAACCAGTGTTGAATTAATCATATTAACGAGGGCATCGGGAGAAGAAAAGGGGGAGAGGGACAGAGAGACAGACAGTAAAAAGGAATAGAGAGAAATTATAAGAGGAGGAGAGGGGGTGATAGAGCAATAAAAGCATGGTTAGACTGGCATCATACAGAGGCAAAAATGAAATTGGTGCTGTAAAAATGCAACATGTCTCATAGACAGCGTTTACGTGACAGTCTTCATTAAAACCGCCACCACCCTATTGTCAGGTAAAAATCACAAAATCATAGTCTAAACCATTTTTTCTTAAGTCACTGACCTTAAAACTTGCTACTTTAGTAAAATTTAGTAGCAACAAAATAATACACGTGCAGCATAATAATCTTTTTAAATGTGGGGAACAATTGATGGCAAGAGAACCGCAGAGCCTTAACTTTTGATTTCAAATGACATTTTCGTAACTGTGGATAGCTGACGTCATTTTTGTTCCAAAGTTGTGCAATGCCCCTTTAACTGATGTGAGTCAGAAGAAGTAGATCTTCAAAGGTTTTCCATGGCATCAGTTATTAAAGAGGGTTAAACTGAACTCGTATAGCGATTAATTGCAAAAGCAACATTTCTTTTTCCAAACACTGTATAAGCTTTGTGTGCCATATCCTGCATAGGCTTATATCTCATAACAGTAAAGACGGTAAAGGAAGATGAATATAAAAGTAGATTGGAAAGGTCAAGGCTGCTCTCGTTGGCTGATAATAAAACTCGGTTTGAGCAGCTTATAGTCATCCAGTCACAAGCCTGGCCAATAAATCAGGCAGAAGAATGAGAACAAAAATTCATGAGCGTTGAGGAGGTGCTTTGTACACACATGCAATAATATTCCCATATCGGTTCTTCATGCGGTTCTCATCCTTCTTGGCAGAATCCCATGGCGCAGACTGTCCTTCAAAAAAGCTCTGAAAGGAGAGAAAACAGGACAGAGAGGGGGGGATGAAACATTGTGTCATGTGTGAACACTCCAAATGATAACCAGGCTAAAGAATACATTCTTTCTCTTTCAGCTCTACAAAACCGGAGGAAGTGAGCGCTGGCAACAGACACAGAAAGAGATAGATTCCCAGTGTTATTAGGCAGGAAACACAGGGAGGATGGTGGATCCCGGGGAGTTGTGTCAAACAGCGAGTGCCATTAGGGCAGATGCAGCGGGTGTCACACTCAAACCTCTCCCCCTGTGCCGCTCTGCTGGGCGGAGCAACCGCGGCGGCTGTCTGTCTCCCTCATCTGAAGGACTCAATCAGCTCGTCGCAGGGAAAAATAAAGCCAGCTCATCGTCTACACATCAAAACTGCTCCGCTCAGATTACCCTCATGAAATATTTATCATCTCTCACTGGGGAGATTTCCATTCTGATGGCACACCAGGCACAATTAAGCCAAATTATGAAAATACATCTACACTGCCAGTCCACCGCTGTTCAGCAAGGGCGGGCAGGGCCGGCTCAGAGCGGACTAGCCTGCAGAAAATCATGGTTTTCTGTCTTTTTGAAAGTAAGCTAATGCACATTTGAAAAGTCAGGTAATACATTACGGGGCAGACCATCTGCAAATAAAGATTCAGGAACGTTTAACGGAGGTTAAAGAGACTGTTTGAGAGTTCCTTTTAGTGAGGAGTAGGAGGCATCGTCTTCAATCATCACTGCTCTAAGACTTGATGGCTCGATTCATCTCAGTGCTGTGGCAGGCAGCAGGCAGTTTGTCTAGCATATAAAGGCCTTTCAGAGACCACACAAGGACATATTCCTGTATGAAGTCCTAAGGATTAGTGATTTCACTGAGAAACAGCTTTAATATGCTAAAAATATGTTCCATCCTTCCACTGAAGATGGAAGCATGTCCCCAAGATGGATTATAAAGGCCTCCTCCAGTGGCAGTATTTCTTGAGGAAACGCACAGGCCAATGTCGTGCTGTCGGTGTGAAGGATACAAGTCTAATATCAAGCCTGTAAGGACAAATCATCCTCAAGCACAAAGGCGTTACCTGGCAACTTTAAAATAGCTCTCTCTTAATCTGAGTGACCCCGCTACAGTCATATTCCTCCAGCCATTATGATCATGAATTCTCATGGGGGTAAAATAATGAATGTCCCAAGAGGTAGAGATTACACGAAGGCTTTCAATTTAAAGGTTAAATGCACATAGAGGGAATAAATGGCTATTCGCCCGACGCGTATCGAAAAACAACTGAAGGCTCCACCTGTAAAAAGTATTTAGTAGCAAAAGGTATGTGATGAATTGTACTTTACTGCAGCTTGTCTGCAGGTAGTTTTTCACCTTCCTCAATTATTCCCACTGGCAGAAATCCAACTTAGTATGTTTTTAATTACAGGCTACCTGCTGCACTCCAGTCCCTGCACAGTTATTCCGCTATGCTGTTTCTTTGTCTGGAACTACTTAACCGTACGTGAAAAGCAGAGTAATTTCTGTGGATAGGGATAAAACATTTGACACAAAGTACACACCATGGTGAAGTAAAAAAACAAAAAAACAAACAAATCAGAAACAAAAAAACCCAAAAGAAAACATGGATGGTCGAACAGAAGCAGGAACGTTTAGTGAGTTGCTTCTGTATTAATTAATCTTTTACTATGTGAGGAGAGGAGGCTCATTCAGACTGACTAGTGTTCATTTGTGGTTGGAGCTTAAAGATTTTTTTTTTCAGGATTCTCACAGTAGGCTAGATACAACACATTTCTGTTGACATGAAACAGGCCGAACACAAGTGAAACAGTGATGACATGGCAGCATTAATGACGCTGAAACTTGTTTCTGCTTCCTGTTTGCACGGTGAAAATGTGCACCCAGGTGCAGGAGGCTGGACATGCAAAATGCTTTGTTAGGTCTGTAACACACACGGCCTTATAAAGCTTTTGCAAAGTATACAACATGGCTTTTGCAAAGTTTAAAGTGTTTATCGTGTCCCTTCTAATGGTAACATTCAATTTCCAGTCAATAAATCCACAAGGTAGCCCGAGCTTAGAATTAAATTTGGTACTTTGTTGGACTGGGTATATCATTGATCAGTCCACTTTAATTATACATTGGTATTCCATTTATCTTTCAAACTATTGCACTTTTACTATAAAAATTATGCTCTTAATAACTGATAGGGTATTAAGTATGCTTTTGAAAAGCTTTATAAACATCAGAATCAAGCTGCGGAGGATTTGTGGTGCTAACAATGTCTGACTACGGGAAGAAAAAGCATTTCACAGTGACGCTAAAGAAAAAAGTAAACAGAAAAATGTCACTGCTCTACATATTTCACCAACTGAACACTGTCAGATAATTTGATAATACTGCATAACATCTGTTGGTAAATGCCCTTTTCAAACTAAATCCAAAAAAAAAGTGATATTTTAATCCCACAGGGTCTTAAAAATAGCCAGCAACCATTACTGATCCTGTCAGGTTTGTGATATAAATCTACAAGTCTAAAATAAATAAATAAATAAACTCACAAAAAAAGTATTTTTCTTACCTCATTTATCTGATCCAAAGTTAACGTACAGAATAACAAGAAGCATGGGTCAGAGAGAGATATAGTACAGTGTAAGTCAACAGGTTTAGAGGTGCACTAAGCTCCAATCTCATCATGAAAAATAAACGGTTATTAAAATAAATAAATAAAAGGGCATTAACCTTAAGACAGATTGAGATAGAGATATATATATTTATAAGACAGCAGTGGAACAAAACATACAAATGAATCGCTCTAGCCATGTGAGAATGAGCTCCCTTGCACACTTTAAGCACCCCACAGGACTTTTTGCAACAGCCTGTGGACAATAAGGTGACAGCAGGGTAAGCAGCCAGTTGTTCCATATTACGTCTCTGTTGATCGACTGCTATTAATCCATGCAATGTTGGCCACGTGGACCCCAAACTCCCTTTATCCATAACGGATTAGACCCAGAAGGCAGCCCAAAGCACTCCAAACCCCTCAATGATCGGATGCTGAAGGTAGCAATGGGAGACGACGTTATTTCATTCCACAATCATGAATGGGATGTGGGGAGTTAATTACCAATAAATCTGACACATAGCTGATGGAGAGAAGGTGGGAGATAAAGAGAAGAGGAAGGAAATCAAGGAAGAAACACAGGAGGTATAGATAAGAAAGTAAGAGAAAGAAGTAAGCTGAGAACGTTAACAAATGTGAGGGTCGTTAAGAGAGAAATGTGACAAGAGGCCGAACTGATACGGATAATATATTGAAACTGAAGGATTTAGCTCGAAGCCAGTCTGTTACAACATGGCGTCGGGGCGAGTTGAGGATGACTGGTGTGGTGCTGAGGGACAGCAAGGAGGGCTGGAGTGCCGCCAAACCCTGCCAGACTAATGCGAGGAAATGAGAGTGATGCCCTTATGGGGCGAAAATCTTTTGTTTGGTGTCAGTAAGAAGCGCAGTGACAGATTACTGATGCTGTTGCGCGACAAGCAGTAGGCTACCAGTACTATGCAACAGCATAATCCGACCCGTTTCAGGTGAAGGAGGGGACGCGGTCTAAGGCAGTTTGTGCATTTCGCATTGGTCTACAGCTGAGTCTCCAAGGAGAATTGGGACACAGCTTTTGACCAAAAAACCCCCCCCCAAAAAAACAAAAAAAAAACCAACCCACCACACTCATGCACACAAAATGCACAATCGCTGCAAACAACAAGGAACAGATGAACAACAAAACGAATCACACCGTAAACACACTGAGACAGGGTACATTAACAATTTATCATAAAAGTGCATCTGGGGAGAAACAAAACAGTTCTGCTGTGCGGTGCAAAACAGAGAGAGAGGCAGGCAGAAAAAAAGAGGGGAGAGAGAGAGAGACAGCGAAAGAGACATGGGGCTGTGCACCATAACACAGATGAGGCCTCGTATTAGACTGATAAAAATTTCCATTCAAGAACCTCAGTGGAGATGTTACAAGTCTATCACCAGGCTTTATTTGGGTTTGCAACCTTAATGGTGGGAGGTGACAGCTGGGCTGCTTCCTACCTCGTACTCCTCCTTAAAGCCGTAGCCCTCTGCGCACTTCATCTGAGTGATGTGCTGGAGGAGGTCCGCCACGCGGATCGCCGGGTGCAGCTGACCCGTCTGATACGGCACGTCGACGGGCTCCCGTTTCCTCAAGGAGTGAGTGTGCGACTGGACCAAGCTGCTTGTGTCGCTGCCCATGTTCTGACTCTCATCTGTGGGACACAAAGAGACAGAGAGGCCGGAGCGGGTCAGCAAGAGGAAATAGGAGCTAAAGTCACATCACAGGTCATCAATTTATCGCTGTAAGATACATACGGGTGACATAATGCTCGAAGCAGTAAATGAAAGTGGTTTCCTTTGAAGTTGTTTTACATATAAAGTTGATTTATCTAGCTTTAATGTTAGGTGTTCATATCTGACTTACAACTGTTCTCCTTAACAGATGGCACATTAGCTCATTTACTGGTTAGCATTATGTCACCACCCTCCAGATTGACCAACAACTCGACTAGTAATCTGTTTGTTATGGATGGTCACAACAACACAACATCATTGAGTAATAGAATGAGTCATGTGGTGGGAAGGTTTAGGTCCATCTGTCTCAGTGTGGCTGGAAAATACTGCACTGTACAGGAGTCCATCGGCATTTAAAAACAAGATCCTCTAAGTGAAACCCTCATGCTACAAGCTTTTAACATTGTTACCAGCAGTGGCTCTCAACTGTGAGAAACATTATACATTAATCATAAAAATCCCCATCAATGTGTTGTAAAAAAAACTTTTCCTTTTTTTTTCCCTTTTTTTTTTTTTTTAACTGGCAGTACAACATGCTGGTTTGGGCTGAAGCTCATATTGAGAGTCAGACTCCATTTCCAGCTCTTTTATACTGTAATCCAGTCAGTGGCAGACATGAGGCACAGATGCTGTGGGGAGCCAGCGGATGATGGAGGGTGTCCAAAAACATGGAGGAGGAGGATGTGAGGGGGTGCGGTGGGCCACAGTGAGCATGTTGCAGCAGGCACCTTCAGAAGCATCACACAGACACAGCGTGGATTCAACCCCTGCCACCCATACTTCCCCGAAAAATGAACAAAATAAGATAAAATAAAAACCAAACCTCAAATAAATAGAAAAAAAAACAAACAAAAAACACAGAGAACCCAAGAGGGAAGCGGAGATGGGAGGAGAATGCATGTGGTGATGCTGCCATGGGGCACTGTGTTTGCTTTGACCATGCTAAGCTAATGGTGGCTTGGTGGCACGGTACGGAAGGGTGGGTGAGATGCTAACATGTCCACTTGTCATGCAATAAATGTCGTAATGCCCGTGTCAGAAGCAGCCTCTCACTGTCGGCATGCTGTCTGAGTAAACACCGTCTCCTTCCCCCAACCCAGGGCCCACTTGGGAAAACTTACCATTAATGGGCACTTTTTAGATAGCAGATACATAAGAGGTTACGTATGTAAAGAGAAAGAGAGGAGAAGAAACAGGAGAGAGGGGATAAGCAACAATCCAGCATGAGAACCTGTTACAGTAGTGTTTGAGCTACTCTACAGGGCAAGATCACATGCCTTCTCAGTTCAAACTGCCTTGGTATAAAAGCCTAGTCAAGGGGGATGTTGAGTGGATGGATGGGGCAATTTCAACAGTGCAAGACAAAAAAATAAAAAAATAAAAAAATAAAAACAAAACAAGGAAGTCATGGATTCAAAAGGGAAAAAAAAATAATGATAGTCTTTGGGGAAAAAAAAGAAGCTGCAATTGTTTCAGATCGCCGACTTGCATACACTAATGAAGCTAATTATTTTTTTAAACGTTCTGACATTTTGAATTCCTCTCTCTAATTGCTATAATTTTATTTCCATTTGTGCTCGGGGGGTAACACCTGTATTTGTGCCATTTTCATTCTCTCTTTTTTTTTTTTAAACTAGTGCGCGATGAAATCAGAAATGCAACCGATACTCTGTGATCTAATCAGTTTTGATCATTAACCTCGAATGATGAGACAATGCCGTGACTGAATGTGTCACAAACCGAAAGCATGTAACCTTTTCTGGCTGCTGTAATTTTATGTTAATCGTTTCACGCTTCATTAAATGCGGAACTAACATAAGCAGCTGTCACAAGAGCGGTGATGAAAGACACTGCTTTAAGTTGCACTAATGTGAAAAGGAAAAAAACACAACAACAACTGTTAAAGTTGCCTACTTAAAAATGCAGCAGTGGTGCTTGTGGTGAAGCTGGAGTCGAGCTGCTTATTGCATCTTTCTTTTTGTCCTTGAGTATTAAATTATTACACTCCTAGTGCCCCACTTAGTAGCTACTTTGCGGGCTTCGCTGGTAGAAAATGCATCTGCTCGTGTAAGATGCCGCACTTTGGGCTGTTGTGCATCTTCAACAAAGGCCAGTAATAATTAACAGGAGAACAAAATGCTTTTTTATAATTCTATTTTATCACTGAACAAGACGAATAAACACTGGAAAAAACAAAACAAAACAAAAACAAGTAGGTCAATAGCAGTTAGCCAAAGGCAGAGGGAGCGACATTAAAAAGAATAATAGAAAAGGTTGTCGTTTCAGAGGGGAGGGGAGGAAGGGAGTTTAATGCATAGTGAGGAGAGAGGGGAGGGGAGGGGAGGGCAGCACAGCTAATGCTAGACTTTAAATGTTCAGACTCAACGCATCCTGCTTTTGGAAGTTCTGGCTAAAGGTGGAGAGGGTTGTGGGGGCTAAGTGAGAGCGTTTTTGGGCCTCCCTCTCACACAGTTTTTGCCTGTTGTGTCTCAGTGCAGCTGCTACGGCTCCAGCATGCTGTCGCCTCAGTTGCCGGGGCAAACTGCCCCCCGCCCCCGTTGCCCCTCTTAGACACTCCCCCACATCCAGTCCACATGTCTGTCCATGCATATGAGAGGTCAAACACGTATGTGACATCACACGCACGACACGCAATGCGGATGGGATGGAGTGAAACCAGCCTCAGCCCAGGAGAGCCCCCTCGTTGGACAGGAAGGGAGAGGAGGGGGGAAGAAGTTAGGGAAGGGTGGAGGAATAGGAGACGAGGAGGAGGAGGAGGAGACGGGGAAGCAGCAGGCAGGTATGGAAGTGAGGAAGCCATCTTTAGTAAAAGAGCCATCCAAAAGAAAAGAATGAAACAAAAAAATAATACATAAAATAAATAAAAAATTGTGCTTTTCTTTGGCCTCACAGTTAGGTGTTCAAACAGCATTCTTACAAATGTAATGCACGGTCATTTTCTTTAGCATAGAGATAAGAATAAATACTCAACAGCAATGGCAAAAGGAAAAATTGTGTCTCACCTAAGATAGCAGTTGGCACAAAGGGATCTGCTCAAACCCCCAAACAATCGCAGAAGTTGGAGGAGGAAAAAGAGTTGCAGTAAATTAAAGATAACGCACAAAAATAACATGAACAGAAATTAATGGACAGCTTTTTGGTTTCTTGCCAAGCAGCATAACAAGAAACCGATCATATTTTAAATTCAAGCTAATTATACAGTAACTTTAGTTGATTATAAATCTAGCTGCCCTTTACCCCATTTAATCAATGGGCTGTGATCTGATTACATAAGACACTCAATTATGGATATTATTTGGGATAAACTGAAGTCATAATTAAACTGCTAAAATCCATCTTGGCAAAGTGATATAAAACATAACCAGAAATGTAGCAGAGTGTAAAGCCATCTAAAGTTAATCTAGCTGCTTTCTCATTTGTAAAATCGTTTTCTAATTTTTAAAGCAACTCTATTAGGTAAATTCATACCACACATTACAGAAATAGGCTGTAATTTACATAAAAAAAGAGCCCATAAAACTTCATCTCTTATTTATTTATTGTGGCGTTTCTATTTGTTCCCCTTTTCATTTCATCATTTGTTAAAAGCACCGCTTAGGCTGTGCAGTAAGCAGTTCTGTGTTGACATACTGGATTATAACGAGGAAATAGAATATGTTTACCTGGGTAGTATGAGTTGGTGGGGATAGAAGTACTGAGAGTGTTGGCTTTTGGTAGTGTGAAGGACGACGGTGATGATCCAGCTACAGATGGGGGGGAAGAGAACAGAACAAAAGGCATTAATAGTCTAATCTAGAGTTATTAATCGTGGAAGCAACTCCCACTGCAGTAAAATTCCAGTGTAATAATGCACTTTACAAGTCTTGCTTTTGAAATTTGCATGTGCTATAAAGGATCACTTGGAGGTTTCTGACTTACCCTGTGGGAAAAGCTACTTTAAGTACACAAATAAAATTCCTTTCACATCTACTAAAATGGAAGCAGAAATCTAGGAGACCTTGACGAAATTAAATGGAAACTGCACTGGCGACACCAAAAGAAGTAGGTGAGAAAATATGTGGCTTTGTGTTTTGGGCTGAGCCGTGCAAAGCACACAAGTATGAGAAATAAACTGCACTTAACCTCGTGGAGTCCAGGTTGATTTGGTTGATTTTGTAGACTTTGCATGTAATCCTTCTCGTCATTTTTCTGGTTCTTTAAAACAGCCTAATGCATTATGCATGCTGCTGTGTTTTTATGGCACTTGCCAAGTTACAAGTTGCTACAAGTTGCTTCTTATTTTGTCAATTTCACAAAGCCAGAGGCCGCAAGGAACCTGCATTACATTCAAATAATAAAGCTTTCCTTTAAAAATCCTCGTGTCTAAATTATGATCAATATTAGTAAACATAGATTATGAAATCTATTCTGTCTCATTTATATATGCAAAATTCATTTTGAAAAGTTTGCAAAATAAAAATGAAAAAAAGAGTAAAAAAAAAAAGCACGTTTAACTTGCACATTTTTTCCAAGTCTTCTAAAGTCCATGAATGCCTGCAAATCTCCAAAAGCATTAATAATTCAGTTTTTAAAGCTACTTTTAAAAAACAGTTAAAGATCAGTCAGTTGCTTTAAAGATATCATCATTAGGTAGCTTGACATTGAGATAGAGCAAAGGGGCCAGAGTAGAACAATAGTCACACAAACCATGACATTTACTCCTAAGACTGTCATTTTCTCCTCATGCAACGTCAACAGAAATGCTACGCCGACGGGGTTTACGCAGGCAGTATGTTCAGGACTATAATCTGTCAGCGATGATGTTTTGAGCCAAAACAACACGACCGACAATAACGTAAGGTCACGGAGTGTGAGAGGGCTTTCAACTGACAGGCAAAGTGAGAAATAATGCATTTAAATCATTTGCGCTGGCAGACAGAGGGGCCAGATTTGAACATCGACACTAACAGACAGTTAATCAAGGTCAAAGCATCTTTGGGGCTCAGCCCCTGCAGGGGTGTGGAGACAGAAGCTGCTGTGCAGTTTTAATCTGATGGTTTTGACTGGGATTATACTAGGTCAAGCCCTGGGTGCAGACTTAGCCGAGCCGTCCATCAACAAAGTATTAGTTTTAACCTGGGACAGAGAGAACAGGTTATCACACCAGAGCCCATCTAGTACGTGCTATGTGTTTCTGTCATGAATTGGAAACAGCATGAGTTTGGGACCTCGTGACGGATTTCTTGGAGCTCTAATGTCTGCTGATAAGCTTTAAGGTCAGCGTTGGGATTTCAAGAAGTCTTGAATATTGATCTCAATACAAGGCTCGCTTCAGGCTATTAACATGCGTTTGGACGACCATTTCTGCAACTGAACTAGCGTGGGCATTAGTGACAGTTAGCTGAAATGGTAAGTTTGCAGATTTCAGAGGAATTTTAATTAATTTAACAAAAATTAATTAGAGAAACTGAAGCAATTTAAAAGGAAATGTTTGAAAAGGGTGGATGAAACCCTCGAGGGGTTCTAAAGAAGGAAGTTTCCACTAGAGAGGAAAAAAACAATTTGATCAAAATCATATCAAAAGATGTTTATATCCAATTCTCTTCTGCTGAGTTGAAACAGCAGTTTCCCTGTAGAGGGACAACAGGCAGTTTCACAAGAGCCATAAAGTAATGTCATTTATGCTGACTACAAATATTGCGTATTAAAGCAAAAATAATCCCTAATGTTAAGATGGGTCATTAAAAATTTATTTTATACACTTTTTATATTATTGAGAAAACGTTGCACCGCCTTGTCTCACCACTTAGTTCTGATACCAGCATTATTAAGGACAAATGCAAGGATGTCTTTTGCAACCTCAAAACTCCAATATTTACCGGAGACATGACTTCAGGTCTTTTTCTTGAAAATATTTCTAAATCAACAGTTCATTGGAAAGCAGACCAAGGAAAACATTTTCAGGTTTTCCCAGGTTGAATATTTCCTGTGCAGCCAAGTCTGATTTCTTTCCCACCTGACCAAACCTAATAAATTGCTTCCACCCTGCTCTATGAGTGTAACCGCATAAAAAGGGAGGTATGCCGATGTGGGGCCGTCTTACCTCGGCCGTTAAGAGTGAGGGCGCACTCGCTGCGGCCGTTAAGAGTGAGGGCGCACTCGCTGCGGCCGTTAAGAGTGAGGGCGCACTCGCTGCGGCCATTGAGCGTGAGCGCACACTCGCTGCGGCCATTGAGCGTGAGCGCACACTCGCTGCGGCCATTGAGCGTGAGCGCACACTCGCTGCGGGTGTTCAGCGTATGGTTGTGTGTGTCCATGAAGGACAGTGCTTCGTCACAGTTGGTGCCCTGCTCTGTGTAGCTCTTGTCCATCGAGTTGACCATCACTGTCATCTCCTGGCGTGTGCTGCTCAGTGTCTCCTTGCGCTTCTTGGCCAGTTTCCTTCAAAGAGGAGACAAATAAAACTGATGAGGCAAAAACAGAAATGACACAGCTTACATTGATCTGATATGAAGCTAGTAGAGATGACTCATTCATATAATGAGATGGGTGAGCTAATGTGCCCTGAGCTGTGGTCACATTAGGTTTCATTAGGAACCAGATGTTTTCTCCCCAAGCAGTGAAATATGACTCCTGGAGAATGTGCAAAGGTGTGACTCTCTAACCCAAATACATCAGGCCCTGATGATTTAAAATTAGCTGGAGTATTTTGGGGTGAAAGAATTAGAGATGTGAACAGTGAACTGAAACAGTCAACCTGCTTTTATTGACCTACTTTGAGTTGATGCGCTAGAGCCTACGAGCAATCTGTCCCTGATCAAACACCATTAATGCACAGTGTACAAAACCTGTGTGCACAAATCCACATACTGTACATGGACATGCATTGGTTTTACCCAAAGAACAAACAAATCCAACCTCCACTCAAATACTAAAGACTTTTGCTGTTTTGACTGCAGTAAAAAAAAAAAAAATCCTTGAACAGACAGCCGTATGACATACTTAGTGTTTTAGTGCAATTCTGTATCCGTTTATTAAATTTCATATGCAGTTTTACCATTTATTTGGATGCCTTTATGTACTAACATACCATTATAGTAGTGCAAATGTTAGCCATGTGCTCCAATCATTTTTTTTTTTATATGTTACACCCCCCATTCCACCCATGTATGAAAGGTTCTGGCTCCAACTGGAAAGCATGGCACCCAAAAGAAAGCTATTCTTTAAGCCCCAATTTGGCTCAAATTCAAAGCAGCGTCAACCTAGCATCATATGCTAAGCTGTCTCTTCATATCCAGTCTGTGATGTTGAAACACTTAATATATGGTGCTAAACATCATCATGCATGACTGTGATTATGAGCATGTTGTATTACTGATGTTAGCAGTTATGTCACCAGCTTCACTATGGCTCACATCTCACGGCTGGTAGTAGAGCTCGACCGATATAGGATTTTTAAGACCAACACTGATATTTAGTGATTTAAAAACACGATGTTTCGGCCAAAATTTCTTTTTATTCTGACAATGCAGTTTAAAACAAAACTGTTTTTATAGTTACTAGTCATAGATGACTTGTTTATGCTGGATCAGCTGGTTGTTGTGCTTGTTCCAAACAGGTGTTGCTAACATGAGAACTGCAAAACGCCCTCTTGGTGGAACGACTATACAACATCCCTCCAACATGTTTGAAGGGCGTTCTCATGTCTCTGGTTTTAAAATTTAGTTTATCCGATGCTAATAAATAAGTATACAGTTAACGAGTAGCTATTATCCACTGATATATCAGTCAGGCTGTAGCTGCAAGCACAGCTGTAGAATTTTTTTCCTTTTTAAGAAGTGAAACTATTTATTTTGATGAGCTGTGAAAAGTAATTAAAACATGATGCGGTGTGATGAACCACTTGTGCTTACTTATTCCTCAACTCATTCTTATTTCCATTCTGGGTATTATAAATACAGAGGAATTAAATGACAATGTGTTTCTGGAATCAGTGAGTTGCACCTTCTATGTGCATGAAACGATTTTATACAATTTAAATATATAGATATATAAAAAGGTGGACTTTTAAAATCTGTTCCAAACAAAGAGTCAACTGCTCTCTGCAGCCGACCTTGACCTTTGACTTCCTTGATTAAAAAGGATATTCACATAAGCGAATCACATGATCACCCAGATGAGTTAACTTTCCTATAATTCCACAAAAGATGAACTACAAAGGAATGGCAAACAGCTAGAGTGGGAACATACTGCAGCAACAGCCATATCTGACGCCTGCCACTGCTCTGTAGCTGGAGGGGAGCAAGTAGTGTAAGAATTAACTATGGCAGCCCTCACACTGATCCTCGCACTTTGTTACTCTCTGCGTGACCCCTCTGCCTATTTGGATTGCAGTCTCTCTCACGGACAACTGCTGTCTAATGATGCACTCCTGCTGCTTTGTTTTCGCAAATCTCCTCTGTTTATTCAATTTTGTCGCTGTCTCATGCCATATGGCAACAGGCCCCCACTGCCTTCAAACAGTCATTTGCTCTGAAGCCCGCGACGTGAGGCTAATAGTGGATCCGTTCTTCAGAAAGCAAAGTGACAAATTAGTGACATTTGTGTCTGCTGGACCCACTTTTTGTCTTCAATCTGCAATTAGAGCTGGGAACAAAATACCAGTGTTGTCTCTATTTTCCCCCATTATAGCTTCATATTGCAATAAGGAAGAGTGAGGATGGCAGGGGGATGCATATACCCCAGGCAATATTAAGACAGATTCGGCACTGTGTGCACTCATGGAGAAGACTATTAAGAACAACTATAATCCAGGTTTTAATACTGTATCACTGTTCTTATTTCTGAGCCTGCTAAATCTTGGATTTCCTCTTTCCTGGCCTGTGAAACAGTTGAAGAGAGAGCGCTGAAGATAAACGAGGCTGCACAGACTCCAGTGCCAAAATGAGAAAAGCACCAGCAATACTGGGATGTTTGCAAGGCACCGTGGGTGTTTGATGAAGATTAATTGGCATGCTATTGTTTCCTCATTTGTAAGAAGGGAAAAATTAATGATAGATGACTAGATTACAGGGCCTGATATGATGAGAGAGATAGTATAAGGAAGTGTATAGTGGAGTGTTTTTGGGTGTTGATGAATGTGACCATTTATTTTATCCCTGGAGAGTTGGAGTAAAGCTGCACATGGAACAATGTCAACAAAAAAATGATAGTGATTACTTGCAGGCATGCCCAACAATAAAATCCAAAATAAATGTGCATATGGGAGGGGGCTGAGACATACAGATGGCAGAGGTGTTTGTAGAAGTAAAGACAGTGCAAACACTCCAGGTAACTATATCAGGCAACTCTCATTAGAGAGATTGTCTTTGGTTCAGTACATGACAAGCCTGGCATATCTAGGATCTAAATGAGCACAGCTCCCAACTCCGTGAGTTCAGCTACAACAAAAAGGCCGCGGCACAAATTTTATGTCTGCAAATGTTTGCCAGAATGTGTGTTCTGTGGGAGGTGACGCTGTTGCGACTTCTAAAACAAGAGCTTCAAAACCTCAAGCTCAGCATGGTCGGCCTCATTTCAGCATCAGATCAGCCTAAACCTTTTGACACTGGGACAAAGAAGGCTTCATTAAAAGATCCACACACACATTCGTGGTGGATGAGTGTGTGCGCACGTTTTAGTTGACTGACATCCAGCTGGGAGGGGCAACAGAAGCATCTTTGATTAACCCAGTGGGGGCATTTCGGTAGCTGTTTGCACCGAGTCTCATTTCAAACTTCTCTTCATCTACAAAGCAAACTTCCATTAGGTTGTCGTATCTATCGGTAAAGGTATTAGGATCAAAAACAGACTTAATACTGTTCATTGTATGTTCAATTCATTTCAATTACTCTGTCAAGTCTGAAAAAACGTAAAAAATGACGGGGCCTCTTCATAAAATTTTCTAAGGGGCCCTTTATCTATAGAAACTAAAAAAAGAATGAAGCAACAAAAACACAGAAGCAGCACACGGTGCTTCTGCTCCTACTCATTCAGCAACCAAAACAACATAATGACAAATAAAGCTAGAAAAAAACATGGTAGGTACTGCTGCTTTTCTGGGCACAGGCTATTTTTACAAAAGAGATTCTTAATTTCAATGGTTTCATTCAAGGCTAAGCAGACATCATTGGTTAAAAAAAAAAAAAAAAGGAAAAAAAAGAGAGGGTATATTAAAAATATTCACCAACTGTAAATATAACTGATTAGCCATAATACCTGAACCAAATAGCTCATTACCATTGCATATATAAAAGTACACATCCAAACATTACATAACTCTATTCCTTGATATGAATGGCCCTTTTCATCAGGAGACCCTTCATATGAATGAACATGGCAAAGAGTTCAAGGTGTTAACTTCTCAAGATTAAGTATTTGAGAGATGTGCTGGAAAAAGTAAGTCCGACTGATGGGACTTTGAAACGTCACATAATGCTTAAAAACACTATTAGCACTTCAGCCTTTTTTCCCCTAATACGGACCTACGTCAACATGCAACACATTTGCATAATGCCCGTCTAGATGCTGGGTGGTGCGCCCTAAACAAAGCTAATAAGCAGCTGTCTAAAAGTGTGCCATTTTTATTTACTAGCTCAAGCCACTCTGCTAGCGCTAAAATGTCCCAGTCACAAGCAAGCCACTCCGACTATAGTGGATTCGTTTTATTTTTAAAGGCACTCTCCAGAAAACAATAGCAAAATTGTTATTGTTAGCCTGTGCTATTTTCTGAACTCATGCTTAACTGAACTGCAGCAAACATCTAAACGTCACAGCCAATGCTCTTGCCTACATTTTGCTAAGGTATGGTAAGGTGAAACAAAGGAGATACAAACATTACTGAGCAGGTGGTTTTAATGTTGTAGCTGAAAAGCGTATATAGCCCATCCATCTATCCAGCCAATTATCCATCTCACCTGTCACTGGTTGAAATATACCAGTTTATCAAAACATTTGTTTGAATTTTCAAAAAAAACCCAAAAAACCCCCCACCAGTTTTTAATAGGCAAACTACATTCACACCATTTCCAAAACCTATAGTGGCCATTTTTTACTATGCTGGATGAACAGATGTTTTGTGACTCGGCGTTTTATAATGTATCTATCATTTAAACTCCATCATTCCATGCTTGACATCTTTTCAGCCTGCTCGAGGTGCTCTTCCTCATCAACATGCAGAGCTTGTAGGTGCAAAACTCTGCAAGGCTTGTACCAATTAATGTGATTCTTGCTACATGTTCGACTTGTAAGGTTTAATGAAGGTGTTTGCCCTGAGCACATTGTGTTATACATTGTACATTTAGCAGGCCTCCTATTCTGACATCGAGTGCAGTGGGGATGACTATGAAAAATGAGATTTATGAAGAATTGGGACAATGATTTATACGTCTCCATATGTGTCTTTCCCATTTTGCTGTATGAAGAAATCCATATAGTTATTACAGTTGAACAAACTACCAACTATTTAGAGCTTACTCTCTCGTTCGTAAATACAATGTTGCGAGACAGATTGGCATTTTGGCAGGGAAGGTGGCGTGCAGGTTGCTTTATTATTTACCAACAATAAACAGTCACTATGCATCTATTATCATTGATAGATTAACATATCAGTATTTTTGTTGTTGGAGCTGTGCCGTTTGGTGCAGACCGTGTTGTAGAACTGAGGGGAATTACAGTTGGATACAATATTTAATCAAATTTTAAACTATAAAATCTGTCATAAAATAATTGCAGCAACATTAAAAAAAATAATATAAATGCTTTATGCAAACAAAACTAAAGGGCAGGCTGTGCAGCTTGTGAGGTGGATTTTGAAATTTAAGCGCCAACACAGTATTTGATGTTATATTTAGTTAAAGATTATCATTGGTTTGGCCCATTAAACTGATATATTGTAATATATTTGTATAGTAACAAAGATAAAACTTATATCTTTCTTTTTTAATTGTTTAAAAACAGTCATTTGCTTTTTTCTTCGATGAAGAAGTGTAAAGAGACACGTTAAGTTTTTACATGTTACATGCTCAGTGTAACAACACCCAACCACCCTCATTGCACCACGCCAATTGATCTCAACTGTCCCCACCAGCAGCAGCCACAGCGGCCGGTATGACCACTTGATTAAAGAACGGTCATATATTTGATCACACATGTAACCGCATTGCTAATGAGCACTGTGATTGATGTGCTGCGTGTTAGCCCTCCCAGCCACCTCTGGCAATATACCTAAAGTGCATATTTTGGCGAGTGCAGTACGCTCTCATGCCTTTAAAAGACTTTGATGAATGCATGAGAGCATTAATGGTTTTCATCAATTGTAGAGGTGTTGCAAGCTCATAGCAGACTTCAGAATTTCAGAGACTGCTCAAGTGGAGGTTGTCTAAAAATGCAGTCTTTTATTAAGTTGACAATAGAAACCTTGGAAATATTGAGCATATGAGTTATATTTGTTTGTTAGCTGGGCTTAGACTGCTTGAGGCGTATAAAGCCTCCCTACACAACACCTCAGCAGTGAGATGCAACCTTTCAGCTTTCACATAACTCCAGGAAAAAAATAAATAATTAAGAGTTCTTCCCAATTAGCTGACATGAATATGCACTTCCCTCATGGGAAATGCTTTGTTCCATTCTAGCTTCACTGACATATGACACGAAAGATATACACAGGAGGGGGGCAGACTGGGAGCCGTACTATCGATTCAAATATTTTCCACTTTAAATACCAGCTACTCATTGGCCACAGCTGCATCACACACATCACATAGTAAAGAAGGCCTAGTGTTTAAAATCCTTATACCTTTCGATAACATATGTTAACAAAAAACTAAAAAGTTAGTCAAATCATTAATTTTTTTGTCATGTGAATATTACTTTCTGAATGTGTATTATATTCTTTAGCAACTGAAGAATAAATATGTATTCTGTAAGAAAATGTTCTGAGGCCTTTGCAGCGTTGTAGATGTTTCATTGTAGCAGTTGTGCAGAGGCGATGTACTTGTTACAATGAACCTGCGAAAGAGTTAAAATATGGGCGGAAAAAAAAAAAGTATACCTGTCTTTCTTTCTCTCTGTATCTATATTAAAAAACTTTTTCCTCTAGTGTTATGTATGCCTATATTGCAGTATATACAGCACATTTTCTCAAGGGGACCATTAATCCTTCTTTACTAGCCTCATATCATGTTGTTATCTTAACACTTTTAGAGGGGAGTCACAACATTTGGCATCCCGCTATCACCTCACTGCCACAGAAATCAACACTAAGGGGAAAAAAATGCCTATTTGAAGGGATTTTCCAAAAGCTTTTAACATGGGCTGTCTTCTAAACACATCCAGTAAATTGGTGGAATGTGTTAATTTAAGTGACCTGGAACCTGCCAATCAGAGCAAACACAATAAAGTGCATCACTATGAAACCACGATCATCAAAATTTGCTAATAAATCCTAAATTTCTGATGTAAAATGATTAATTGAAGCATTTCAATGAATCATTGTACATGCTTCTGTTGTACGCTTCTTGAAGAACTGCATTAACATTTTTTTGGCAAGGAATCGGCTGTTTTGATAAAATTCTCCTCCTTTTAAAAATGTGCATCAAACAAAGAGAAGAACACGTGTAAGTAACAATAAAATACCAAGAATATAAAACTGCTATTTTGATGATTTCACAGCAACCAATATTTTCTTGCTTAGCTTTGGCCGATGTGTGCGCTCAGCTTTGAAGGCACTACTCTTCTAAGTCATTGGGGCTTTCCATTCTAGACAGCTGTGATCTAAAATGAGTGACACTTGGAGTATTCAGGGTTGTATTATCTCCAGGTGTATTCTGAGATTTTCTTTGATGCGAGGCAGCCTCCATTCTCTTCTCTGATCACAGTCATCTCAAGACAGATTAGTCGGCATCCATCACAAAGACTACAGAGGGAGCCTATGAGCTACAGCAGGGAAAGCAGAGCTGCAGAATAAGCTTCTTTACCATTCAGCAGTGTGATGTGGAATCATCTGTTACATTAAGAGCGCATAAAGGCGCGCTTCAGTTATTGTTTTGTGATGTCGGAGACATTGAAATAGAATAGAGAGATATTCTATGATCACATCAGCTTGTTTTGTAGTGATGCAAGCATCTTGTTAGCTAAAGACACAACTCCACCATCACCATAGAATCAATGGGATGGTTGCGCAAAATAAAATAAAAAATCCAAAAACCATGCTGGATTAAAAAAGAAAAAAGAAAAAAAAAAAGGGGGAGAAAAAGCATGAGAAATTTGAGATGATTTGATGAAAGTGTGACAGGATGGTGTGGGGGGTAAAGAATACTACAAATTATCACATGCACATGGAGCCAAATCGATAAAGTCAACATGTTAGCGATGTTCAAAATTTGTGGGTAATTAAACTACAAGTGTGGTTAATCAGGCTCAGAGTTATCAATTGCATCTGAAGAGTATATAAAAGTTTAAAAAAGTGAAATATTTGGACTAGCTCATTGAAGTTCTGGGCACAACTGAAGTGTAGATGCAAAAGAAAAAGAAATCTAGCTTTGACAAGTCAACAGAGACGAAATCATTTGAGGCAAATGAAAAATTCACACTCAATAAAAAAATAAATAAATAAATAAATAAAAGCAGTGGTGCTGGATTGATTTTTTTTCTTCTCTTTCACAAGATGAGTTCGGCAGCAGTACAATCATTAAGGCAGTTAAGTTCATCATCATTTGATAAACAAACTCCTTATAAATCTGGCAGAAACTACGTCTGCAATAACATCTCTGTGGCAGGTTTATTTTGTGGGGGTGTAGGCGCGTCTTTCTTCTTTTCATCAGAAGTTGAGCCAATGTGACATACATTGTGATCTGCTCATCGTGTGGAGATGCATTGGAGTGGCGTCCTCCGTTCCTCCAGCAGAGATTACAGTTGGGCCTCTGTAATAGCTCTGGGCAGGAGGAGGATGACATGGCTCTTTGCATGCATGGGAAACAGTGTGTGGGTGAGAAGCATGGCACTAACATTACACAAAGTGGTTACTTACAGGTAGTAAGTGTAGGAGTGATAGGTTCTTCTGCCGAGTGGGGTGGTGGTAGGATTTAAGCAGTGGAGGAGGGGAGGGGATGGAATGAAAAGGAAAGAAAAAGTAAAAATATATTAATGTTTGAAAAAAGAGAAGAAATGAACAAAATCAGATATGGTGGCATACGTGGAGGTAAACTAGTGATCGTGAGGGCAAAGGTGATCGCTTGGAGTCATGTCATGCTTTGGTAAGGGGTCTCAGTACAGTACCAAAACTCCCTTTTATGAACACATAATTTGATACACCTATAAAAAAAATTACCATATGTGACCTCCAAGGTTGAAACTTAATGAGACGTTTGAATGTCTAAACACAACTCTGATTCCCTGTTGATAACGGTAAATTACACAAAATTCAACCAATGAAGTCATCTCCATCTCCGGTTTGATTAAGGCTAATTGAAAACAATTCCATTACTGCGTGCCGATTTTCACACCCACCCACTGATTGCTGTGCTACGCAGAAAGGCCCTGCTGTATGAAGAATCTTATATTACCGTCAAAAATAAACATGAAACACAGTGATTATATCAGTGCATAACTATGTCTTCCCACTCAGCTACATCTACTTGATCTAATGTGCTGACCTTTAGACTTGAATTCGAGACATGCAATTTCATATCAAAAGGACAAATTATATGCAACGCACAATAAGTTTTACTTGGGAATGAAGAAATCTCTGCAGAAACTGGCACTGTATTATTTTAAGCCTCGCCGTGGACAAAAGGGGGTTGATATTTGCTGAGCTTTAGCTCCCCTGATTGCTGGGATATGTACAGAAGACCTCTCTCCAGTATTGGGTCCGGGGCTAATGTAAACTTAGCCTTCAGTTATACGGCCATCCTCTTTGCTTTTGAGCCTTTCATCATATTTTCTTTCTTATCTCCTTCACGCCTCTCTCCGTACCACGGCACTCAAAAACATATTTCTTTCCCATCCCAGTGTCACTGAGGCGCTGCACATTTGTTTGAGGGTGCCGTGGAAACGGATTAATTTTTCATGGCACACTGTATCTCATGGCTGTAAACAGCCTTAATGGGGCGTATCAACATAATCAAATTAATTATTTACTACGACACTGACAATGCCACTGTTTGAGGGAAAAATATACAAACTGATGAAACTGAAACTACTTATTTGTTGGTGCTCTGCAAGTAAGTTCAGCCACTTCCACAAATCTGAAATAGTCATTCAAAAACTAAAAGGGGGGAGGGGGACGGAAAAAAAAGCTTACCTTTTCTTCATGAGCAGCACCACTCCTAAGAAGATGATGACAAAGAGGAGGATACCGGCGATGACCCCTGCGATCTTTACGGTGTGGTCAGTTTGCTTCTCGGGCTCCACTGCATCAGGCTTATGAGTGGCTGCTCCTGAAAAACACAGTGATGGATAAGAGTCAAACAAATGGTGCACAGATTCGAGCACATCTCGTGACCATTTTATGTTGTGCCACATTAAGCCAATACCCAAGTACTAATCTATATATTCAGTATATCTTCTCACTGATTTGACAGTGTGGAATCAGTGCACCAATATTCCAAGGACCATAAATATGAGTACAAACAAAGACTAATGCTAATCCTAACAGCAAGTGACTCCCTATTGTCCTAAAGACCACCTCTAGCTCTGCCCTTAGTGGACATCAGCGCTCTGTGGATCAAGCTGCACTGAGAGAGATAAGTGCATACCATCTTTACCCTTGGTTAATCACATTTGAGGCAAATGGTTGCTGGGCTGTAGAAAAATGTAAGACGCAGGGCGGGAAAGATAATGCCCAAGAAGATAAAAATGACTGAAATAACAAAAACATTAAATATTAGCCTGAAAGGAGATAGCCAACAACGAGAGGCACAAAGAGAGAGGAAGATGTGGGAGAAAACAGCTTGTTTTTAACAGCATCTGTTCCTTGAGAAGTGATAAGAAGCACTCAGAAGGCAATGCTGCCAGAATCACAACTGTCCACCTCAACAACACCATTATTCCTTGTCACCAGAGGTAAATTTAGAATGACAAATTGTTATGTCAAATATCTTAGAGTGAGCTTCCTTCTCTCTCCAGAATTGCCATTTTCTCTTCCTATCAAAAAGTTAAATATCCATCCCGGGCCGGCTGTGACATATTGTTCTTCCTCTGGTGTGTCGTTATCAACAGCCATCAAGCGCCTTTATTTAAAAATATACAATTTTAAGGCCCGGGCTGTGGAGGATTTCAAGACGGGTGACATCATCATGTCTGGATTGATGGAGCTGATTTTGTCCCAATATACCGTTAGAGGCTAATCTCGCCGTCAGTGACAAATCCTCGATAGAGCCGCGGGGGCTGTGCGTCACCCTACCGCAACTCTGTGCTGTCAGTGAACTTGGGCGATTTGTGCACCAACAAGTAAAAAACTGAGCAGAATTTGAATAATTTCACTTGAGCTTCCTTTTGTGTGTTTGCAGTTGTCACAGCTGCAACAACCAGCACCGACTCTCCCTTAATCTCCCAGAAATAATGAGAAATATTCATGAAAGGGGATTAACTCCTGTCAAAAATCTCCCAACATTGACACATCAAATGACAATCGCACCTCAAACGGGCCTTTAATGTCCAGTAATTCTGAGGAGATGAAGGTAGAAGGCAACGTCGTCAAGTCTTTGATTTAATCATAATGACTTTATGCAAATTGTAAGACGATAAACAAAAAAATGCACACATGCAACATTCCACTTGTTGCCCCCCCCCCTCCTGTTGAGGGAATCATGAGTGCCCCCACCCGTGAATTCAAATCCAGAGCGCTACTACCAAGCTGTGGAGAGAATAACGGACCTGTTAGTTGGTTGTCACCAGGCGCTGGGACGATGCGGATGTACGGGGTTGTGAGCTGAGTCACGAGTATGGCGGCTGTGTATAGTCAGTGGATCCAGGAGGGCATGCAGTAAAAAGAGACAAAGAAAGAGAAACAGGCCACACTGAACACAAGTCCCATCATCATGCAACACCTCCAAGAAAGACACTAAATAGCAGTAACAGCAGGGATTTTTTTAGTTTGTTCCACCAAGTCTGCAGAAGCAATAATTTCACAAAGGTTAATATCTGTAATATCTTTATGAGTCTAATGTAGGGCACTAAAGCATATTTCTACAGGTGATAAAATTCCACAGCCCATGAACTCTTTGGCTTTTGCCTATTGAGCCATGTAGATGGAGACATCTGGAACTCCACCAAGAAATCTATAGCAGGGCTGCATGCAAACTACACAATATAAGAGACTGTCAGGGCGTGTGACAGGACCTCCCACGGCCCACAGCAGAGTGTGACTACGGCTCCCTCTGGCCTTATCAATTCTGCTCCCAGATCAATGGTGCTTAGACTTCATCACCCCTAATGTGTGGAGCAGGACGTTGAGGCAGCATAGCTAAGTACCTACAGACCTCCGTGGGCACACAGGCTGCCTCCAAGTCACGGAAAACACGCTTCAATCGATAAATTGACTACATTTATCACACAATTTTGTCTCATCTCACATTTTTGTTGTCATTTAGAAAGAAAAAAAAAACACGTTAATTCTGTTAGTTCCCAGAATTCAAATGCAAGAGACGTTAGGAAGTACATGTCGTAAACATCTCTATTCACACAAACCGATCTAGTCCTACCTTTAGTGGCAACTCGCACACAGTCGATTTTGGTTTCCTGTACCAAGAGATAAATAAAAAGGAGGAAAAGAGATGGGGAAATAGGTTATTATGAGATGCACACACAAAGACAGACTTACAGCAGCAACAACACCTATGTAAGAACCCATAGTTACAACAAAACAGCAAGGCCAGTTCCATGCTGTCCCCTATCATCTGTTGAGCTCAATGACTGTGACACAAAACGCAGTTAAGCGAGAGGGCCCACAGCACAGATTAGTGGTGCTGAGCTGCTGATTTGTCAGCCAACAGCGATCTGTCGGCAGCTTGCGGCTCAAGGTGGTCAGCCACTGTGGAGAAACCAGAGCCCTGTGACAAGCGACACCAACCCAGCATGCAGAGCTCCAAAAATGACACGTCAGGGAGACTTTCTGAATATGTAATGAAGTTCCAGCTCTGACAACAGCCTTCAACAACATTAAAAAAAAGAAAAAGAAATTGAAAACACTGCTCGCGCTGTTGGCAGTGAAATTTGTTGTCAACAATATTCTGGTTTACAAGAAAAGGGACATGAGACGAACAGGGAGGCAATGAGTAATACAGCACAAAAGACATGAGTGCTGTGTCCCTGTGTTGTCCCGGCCAAACTGTCCAATGAGCAATGAACCCACATGGGAGGGAGGCCATGAGAGGCATAATAAGGAGAAGAAAGAAAGATGTGATCCTGTGTGCATGTGCATTCCCATTACTGTGGCTTTTAAGCCGTCAGATGGTTATTTCATTAAAGGCAACATTGCAAGTCACATTTGATTTTTATTTGAACAGAAGGCTGAAAAAATTCTAGGTATGGATGGCGCACACCTTCTCTAAGTGCTAATTTTGTTTAAAAGGCCCAAACAAATCATACCAAAATCATCAGACATTAATAAAGGCTTCTAGGACCATCTATTGACAGTGAAGGCTTAATAAAAGAGAGTGCATTTGCCCACTGTGAATCAAAACATTGAATGTAAAAATGATGTCAGAGATGTCTCCATTACGGAGACAGAGCTCTATGCTGTATCAACACAGACGCTTTCATTTTGTTTGTTCAAAGAAGAGCGCCGTCAGACAATACATCAGACTCACTGATTAACCCTGGAAGGTTTCAGACTGCCAGTGCTTTACTCTCAAGAGCAAAACTTTCTAACTGGATTCAGCCAAGGCTCACATGCTATTTGTATTGCCTCCTTAAAGACACGCTGGTGTTTCTCAAGGAGACTGTTTATGGTGATTCTCATTCAGGACCACAATCGGCAAGGCTCTTGAAGTTGCCATTGAGCTGTCTGCTGCGGCTCCATCGAGGGAGAGCCCTGCCAAATGCCACTTGATGACAGAGGCTGCGACCTGTACGATTGGTAGCCCCTATTGTTGTTCCCCGTCTCTCACACTTAACTGCCACTGGGACAACTGCCGCTCTTAAATGCTGTTGATCAAAGAGTTGTCTGGTATTTGGCATAGAGCTCCATAGCAAAAGGCAGGAGAAGAGGGCCACAGGAATGGAGGGAGGCATGTCACGACACAGAGCTCTGCATTCCAAGCCTGACCCTGCTGCGGACCATTAAGACTACACAAAGTGTCGTTAGTAAACTCACAAGAGTACTGCAGCACCTATCAGAAGCTATGTGAAATGGCAAGGTTGCCATGCATGTGCTTGCCAACGTGAGCAGTTACTATGCTTAGTACCTTAATTCCTTTGAATCACCTAGGCAGTGATCGTTATATTGTCTTTAGCGTTTAGTTGCGTTTGTGCGTCCTTTAAGCGTATTGTGCGTACACTGAGACAAGGCAGGGCACTGTGTCGCATAAAGGCTTCAAATGGAGAAAGAATTTCACAAGTTCGAATTTTTATTTCATTTCAGTCATTCTTTGGTCGGAGGAGGTAGTAAAAGTATTCAGTACTCAAGCAGCATAGCTTCAACTTGCAAATCCATCTGAATACCTCTCACTTCACCTTCCACCTTTACTTCAAAGCATTCGGGAAAACCTATGGTGGTAGCTAAAAATGAGAGAAATGCAAAAGTCCCATTCTAAGCCAGTGTTTGGTTTGCTTGTTCTGAACTACTGTGGAAATATGGCAACATCATAGCCCATAGATCCTACTGTAGATACACAATATAGGCCAATATTGAGCTACACCCTCTTAATCTCAGAATTCAGGTGCTTTCAGTCCCATTGGCACAGTGGTATAAAATCAAGTATCTAGCCACGCAGTCTGTCTTTACATACATTTCTCAAGGAATGGGTCATTTCAAATTTAATTCAGACCCTTTTGCAGCAAGTCCATTTATTATATTTTTCCCTCCAAGATATTTTACAACCAGCTTTAAATTTTAAAGTAAAAGTGTTAAAGAAAGAACCTCAACAACTTAACAACCCTACAAAGAGGGAGACCGTGTAAAATTACAGAGGGATTACACAGCGCTGAGGAGGATAGTAAGGAAAAGTTGCCAGTGCTCCATAGACTCAGTAACTGCAAAGGTCCAAAATTGTGCTAACGGACCTTCATGTTTCTTCAGGTTTGTATGGCTGAGAAACTCTTGTGACACTTTTTTCATAAAGTGTATGATTGACTAATTTTAGGTTAACAAAAACAGTAATTTTTAGGTAACTACTGTATACACTATTGAAAACTAATATTTGATTAATTCTCATCCCAACCTTAAAGTAGTAACACCACGATGTAAAAAATCTAGTTGCTGTTGGTAAGATGGAAATACACAAACACAGGCACGTTATTGTCGTCATTACAGGACTTGATTACGTTTAACTGCCAGTTCAAGTTCAATTTAGAGCCAGGGTGTAGCTATAGTGCAGAAAATGCTGTATAAAATAATAAGAAATGACAACCACCCACCCCATTGGCTGTGCTGACCGCCTGGTAATATATACTGTAGCTCTTCTGTGGCAGCAGAGGGGCATTCCAGTACCCATTGTAGGTCTTGTTGTCCCCCACAGTAAAGGGCTGGGGCGAATGGATGCCAGCAGCGGGGAACTGAGCAGTGAAGTAGTACTGTGAATTAAGAAGCGTGGCATTCTGGAAGTGAATGGGAACTGGGTAGCAGCGCAAAATTTCTGCCGTCCCTCGTGCTCTGCGTGGACGTTCCTCCTCCACCACCACCTGGTACGCACTGAAAATGCAGGACAAACAAAATTAACATACTCCACTGGGCCAAGCAGGCTCTTGTAGAATTCAACTGGCAATACAGACGGTTTTCTGCTTTGCCAGTTTGCTTTATAAAGTGTAAAAATTGTCTCTTTATGAAAGCCACAAACATGCATGCTGCAAAGCTCCAAATCTCAGAGCGAACTGAGTCTCCAGAAATTACTCATTTAGACAAGAAATAAGAGATTTATGTAATGCAAACCAAGTTCTTATCCTCTCTAACTTTAATTATATAACAAGTTATTTAAATAGAACTTCTGTTGGATTAAAACTAATATTACATTGGTTTTGCAATGTCTGTCAGATATGTATACATTCCCTTTTACTTAAATGCATTAATAGCACTTTATAATGTCACACTATTAAGCATTAAGGTATCAGTAAGTTACAGTATTAGCGAGGACTTAGTTCATATAACATTAGTCCTCCTTAATATGCCATTTATGAATACATTCATAGATATATTACTATAAATATGATTATGACTATGATTATCATTACAATTATTATTAATTAGCGATGTAGTGTAAAACTAGTGAGCACAACATGCATTTACATGTGGGCAATCAGCTATACACTGAGTAACAATACCATTAATGTTATTTAATAAATTACAAATGCATTAAAGCATATTTACAACTAATTGATTGTCTGCCCGCTGTGTAAAGGCTACAGCAATAAATTACTTGTTTTTCTCGACTAAACAAGAACTCTATTTATATAAATCCCTTCTTAAAAGTGAAGTCAACATAAAAGACTGAAAAATACCGGCCAACAGAAATGAGCGGTGGCACGGGACATTTATTTGCCTTTTCATTATTCAGCAAATGAAAAGGTTAACGGCTCTTTCCATTTCCTCTCCATCCAAGTCTTGTGTTTAGCTAGATCAAACCTGCAGCCCTCTGTGACTCTGACAGGGATGACATTGTCTCCGAGCCGGCCACTTAGCCTGAGGGGGAGACTGACTGTCTTATAGACGTTCATGTTAGTATGCATCGCGCATCTGAAGTGGACCTCCTGTTAAATCCATTGAGTCGCTGAGTGACAAAGAGTCTGTTTACAGCTGCCACGCAGAATAACCAGCCATGATTGGGAACTAGTGATCCATTTGCAAAAGAGCTAAAGAACCAACAACGCATTATCACAGACGATGGAGCAAAGTTTGAGTGCTCTATGAATGAAGGATTTCAGAAATGAATGAAATATGGTGGAGCTCTAGTTTTGCGGAGCTGGTTTAAGAGCTTTTATTCGCAACTGCATCGTGTTTATAAATACATAAATAAATCGTTTGCCTATTGTTTAAACAGGACCACGAGTCCCACACTGTTTTCTAGAGTTTGTGGGGGTTTTTTTCCTTACTGTACATGCTCTCCTGCAAGGACCATACATACAGGCAATTTAACACATGTGTTATTCCACTGAAGGCTGGTGATGAAAGCTATGACTGAAGACTGCAATGCAGAAAACAATGGACGTAAACACTTAACAATTCACACAGAATCTAGAAACCACTGTAAACGAGGACAGAGTATACGCACAGTATGTTGGTGCAAGAACTAAGAGCCCATTTTATACCTGAAGACATAAACACATCATATGGATATAGTTTATATATCTGGTAGCACAAATCTTCCTTGCCTTCTTCATTTTACCTGCTTTGTCTGCCATCTGACTTCATTTAGAATTTAATTAGACTATTTTGAAGTCAACCTTTGCAGTGCTTGAAAGGCATTCATTGCCCCCTCTATACTGGAAGTCTAGGAATCCCACTGTGTAAAACCGCCGATCAGTTATCCAAGGTTACCATGAGAAAGTAGCAACACTGTAGATAGAGTGAACTTGATATGCAGCTTTATTTGAGTCGCTGAACAGGACTTCATTAGCATTTGTATAGTGTCAGTGCATTTCAGAACCCTTTTAATGCATCTGAAATAATAGGGCTATGTTTTAATGTATGTGTTACTATCTAATTAACAGTTAGTGTTATGCAAGGCACTGCAGTCTTTGGATACAGCTTTCTAACCAAGCATAAACTTACAATACTAGATGAAATATTAATTGATTAGAATTTGAGATAAGAAAATGATAAAGAAATTACTAATCTGCCTTTTTTTTTTTTTTAAAGAGTTTTTAACTGATAAGGCTATATGAAAAATACAATCATCCTGAAGCCTTCATAACCATCTAACAGTGAATTCAATTTATCTATTCAGTTGCATTGTGCCATAAGAAATATTAGTGCCTACCGAGGTGTAAAGCTTTGGTGACCCTGAACATGTTCCTTAGCCTAGATTATTACAACAAGTGGAAAGAAATATCTTTTCAAGAAAAATAGCTGCACTGTTGTGGTTGTACTCTTAAGCTGTGCAGTTGCAGTACAAACAGCCCTGGAGATGATCAATTGTTCCCCGCGGTTGGTACTGGATGATTAAGTATCCCCTTTGTGTGTACAGCATGTGCTCTTTAACCCTATAGTTTATCATAAGATGCTTGCTGTGTCATTAGAAAATCCCCCTCTGCTCTTAGTGGGTGTGTCCCAATTCCTTGGAGCTCTCCTATTTAGCACTGGGTTGGGAGGTGATGAAATATTTAATCCTGCTGAGAGTCTACAGGAGAAATCAGGCTTTAATTACTGTCCCCTATTGAGAGCAGAGGTCAAAGGGCAGGTGGAGACGGTACACGGGAGCCACTTAAGTAGTTGCAGAACAGCAGAGAAATAAATGATTAGACTTCACGGAAGCCTCAGCCAGAACACTGTCGATTTGATTTGAACTATAATAGGACGATGCAGTTTTAAATATAATTAATTTAATCTCTAATTATCTCTGCTGTCAGTCACATTACTCATCAAGTAAGATGGATAACTATCTGTTTTTAAAGACATAACCCATGAAGGACTGCACGTCTGCATATTTCCTTTGGAGAAATAAAACACATTATACTCACAGTAAATATTTGCTGTAGCATGTACACTGATTCTCAGCTCGCTCATATTAGTACTTTATATTCCAAATCAATCTGCAGACAGTGAAACAAAAAACTAGCGCTGGCTCTCCCTGGGTGGCTCCTTATGATATGATGATGCAGCTGTGCTACGACTTAATGACAGGCACAGTATGAATAGAACTGGTTTCCTTTCCTCAGGCAAAATACCAAGTGCCAAAGGCTATGAGGTTCCAAGGGTAAAAACTCTTGTAATGTGGAAATCTAATTCAGTGCTTCTTCTCCACAGAATATTTACAGCACCAAGAAACCGAAATCTAGCGCACAATACATTTGCAATTTAATAAAACAGTTTTGTTCTTCTCTGTAACTGATGGAGACAATAAAACCTCCTTTACTGGTTTTACTTAAAAGAGTGTCAGTGCTAAACTGCTCTCCTGCTATAAAATATTTAAAGTAGAACACTTACTATACCATTTTCACTGCAACGGCTTAAATGCAAAACTGACTCATGAGTTTAATGGTGGCAAAAATACACGTTGTTCTAAAAACCTTTTTTCTGTAATTAGTGCAAGCATGTAAATATGCCCTTGAGCAGCTGACACCTTGTGACCTCATGCTGAGTTCACAATTTACATCATGAATCATTTTGACAGACCAGAGTGATTTAGTCATTTCCTTGATTTGGCATGACATGAATGAGCACCGAAAAAACTACAACAGATGAACAACTATGGCTCTGGTAGCAAGAACAAAAATCCTTTGTAGCTCATGTCTCTCTTGATATACCAATTGGGGGAATTGCATTCACATTGATGATAGAAGGGGCCTTCAAATCATTTACTAAAATATAATCACTTAAAGCAAAATGCCCAAGTACTCCAAGTACTTTAAAAAAAAAAAAAGAAAAAAAAATGGGGGGTATAATATTAATATATGCTCATTTTGAATGCTTAATTGACATATTAAAGGATACATCCGCTTGTCTTTGTACTTGATCAACTAAAATCCCAAAGTGACAGGAAAGAGTATGAAAGCTACAAGTAGTCAATGTTGCAGTACTGCAATTGTATCATATTAACTTACAGTACTGTGCAAAATTTAGGGCCAGCCTTCTTTTTCCCACTTTTTTCCAGACAAATGAGAAATGGGTGCAATGACTTATTGGTACAGGTGCAAGCATAAATGGAATTACAGTATAGGCAAAGGACAAACGTTTGTCTAATCCTAACAAACTTGAAAGTCAATTTTTGGTATGACCATCTTTATTCTTCTACACGGCCTGGATTTTCAAAGGCAAGCTTTCCTGTCATTTCTTCAAGTAGTCCTTCAGGCTTCTTGAAGGACAGTTGAAATGTTTCTTTGGATGTTGGCTGCCTTTTGTTGCGTTCTCTGTCAAGATGATCCCACACTGCTTCAATACTGTTGAGATCCATGCTCTGTGTTTTTCTATCAAGGTATGCTTTTATTGCATTGAAATTGTGTTTGGGATCATTGCCAGCTGAAATATCAAGGCTTTGCTAATCAGTGGATTTCCAGATGGTATTGCACGGTAGATGAAAATTTGATGGTATTTTTCTGCTTTCATAACTCCATCAGTTTTGACAAGATCCCCCAAACCATTGGCTGAAATGCATCTCTGCCATGCTTTACAGATGACTGTAGACACTCTGTGTTGTACCTCATTCCCCTGACCTCCCCCATGCATATTGATAATAATTTAACCCAAAAATGCCAATTTTGGATTCATTACTCCGTAAGACATGTTGCCACTTATTGTCAGTCCAGTTATTGTGCAATCTGGTATACCTCAAACATTTTGTCCCCATTTCCGTTCCATGAGAATGGCTTCTTGACAGCCACCCTGCTACTGAGGCCCTTTCTGACGAACGGTGAACAGTAGACGAATCAACTGAAGGTCAGAACCATGTCTCGGGTCCTGTGTCAGGTCTTTTAAGGATTTGAATTTTTTTTTTCCTGGAAATTAAGTTTTAGGGCTGTCACTTGTTTTGTCTTCTACTTTCCAGTTTCCTCAAACTTTTTAAGGACACAGTGCACACCATGCTGGGATTAAAAAAAATTGCCAGCTGATAGCTCTTTGGCAATCACCTTATTAGTGCAAAAAATGACATTTTAAGTCTGTCAAGCTAAGTTATGATTTGCAGTTTTTGTAGATTCCATTAAATCAATTGCAACAAGCTACATGTTTTTCCCCATCAGGCTCTCTGTGATAAAGTACCTAAATATAACATTTTATATGGTTTCTTTTCCAAGTTGTCTGTTACATGTAGACAACTGTCATTCATTCGTTGAGTTAGGATCCTTTTTAGTACTTGCTAGATGGTTTTAACCCCCCCGAAAAGTATTTATCCAAAAATTATCAGGTATGAGGGCTGGACTAAAAATGAGTGAAACATCAGCCAATGTTCAATGAAAAACTTTAAAAGACCTTTAGAAATCACGGAGAGGGATTGGACAAAACCATAAAAAAAATTTAAAAAAGGAATTAGGAAAAAACTACAAGGAAGTCCTGCTCTGTGGAAGCAAAATATAAAGAAATTAGGTGCAGTTCAAGACTTTTGCACAGTAGTTTAGTTCAAGTTTCAGGACATTTGTGTGAAATTTTATAGTAAGTAAAAATTCTTGAATTCTTGAGAATAACAATTGTTTTGCAACGTCATAAACAAACTTTAAACATTTACTATGAAAATCCAACCAATTCTTTGAGTCCACGTACTTTAAAAAGTTAAGAATTGGCGTGGCCTGTGTACAGACCAACAACCCCAGTCATGGAAAGCATAAAAATGCTCTAATGTCACAGTGGCATGACCTTTGGATACCACAACCTAATCAGCTGATCTTTGCCTCAAAGTTTAGAATGGCACAGATGGATTGACTGACATCTCAAATGTATTCAACACAAGCGTAATGATGCTTAATGCCAAAGCCATTGAAATTTACTCTCCGACAGAAGATGGAAAGACAGAGAGAAGGAAGGATGAAGTGAAAAGCTGTACCAGATGAATGGTATAAGCCGTTAAAAGTGGTCTGTCAGAATGGCCGGCAGGGCAGACCTGTATTCTTGGTGTAGCACTGCAACCTGAACTGACACCAATTAGGCCTCCTCCAGCCTTGCTGTCCGATAGATTTCAGCTCTGTCGCCATGTGACGCCAACCAATTATGGCGAAATCGACTGGATTGTGACCTGAAACTCTGATTTATTTTTCATGTGGGCTGATAAAGGGAGAACTCTGGGCAGTTTGAGTAGTTGAGGGAACGGGGTATGGGGAGCATTTCAATCACTGTCTCTCTCACTCTAATGCTAATCGGCTGGCTCTACAGTATACGTCTGATTTAAGAGTGGTTGTAAGTAACACACTTCTCCTGACCCAGCATCCTTCCTCTGTACCCCTGTCTTCTTACTTTTTATATTTCCCTGGTGTCCATAAAGCTATAAAGCAAACAAATTAGAAAGTGCCATAGATTACATTTGCCATTAAATCGTAAAAAGCGCTGAGTTGTGTCATGTTTAGGCACAGCTATTAGCGTTTGCTCTGCTGTGATCAAAGAAAGTTAGTGCTTATTTTAGTACTGTAGAAAATCCTTTAACTGATTTCAGGCCGTGGTGAAGTAAAGAAAATCTGATGCTACAGGGTAGAAACTATATGGGAACCCGGCCTACTTTAATATGGAACTGAAATTTGTATATATTATACATTTTTCTGTTTATGCATATGCATTTAAGCTTGCTCAAGGCAAAGGTTATGGCAGAAAGAGAGGACTGATTTAGTGGCATGAATGATAAGGAAAGCATCTCAAATCACTTATGTCTGCATCAACATGTACACATCTATTTTGATGTTACAGTGTGAGGAGGCGTATTCTGGCCCTGACGAGGGGCTATTGCAAACATTAGTTTAACGCGACATGACTGATAGACAGTTCGCTAATCCTCTTAAAGAAACAGTGTCCCCTCTGGTAAAAATTGTTCCCGGCTATGCGTGTCATCCCCAGAGATTAGAAGCAAATTCCAAGTTGGAAATGTTATACCGATTAGCAATTACACAAATGAAAAATCGACTGCCTCCCTCAGCAGTGACAACGTCTGCCCAGATCCATCTGAAATATGATTTGACGTCAGCATGACTGCAGGATGCTGAAGTGAAATGGACATTTGTCGTCTGTTATGCCTTCCTTTTTAACCTATCGTGTGATCTTCCAGAGCGCTCCCCCTTCCTGTATTACAGCAAAACATCTGCTGTTAGAAACTCAAATGTCGGGAGCTCTATTACCTCCTAAACTCAATCAGCATGCAAGATTGCGTTATCAAATCAAGCCCCGTGCTGCTTTGCTCTGTAGTGCTGTGGATCAGTGTTCTCCCTTGTCAAATCCTTATTTCACAGGGGCTTTAAAACTGATTTCATAAAGTGTTCAATTTCAAAATGAGCCACCCACTACTCTAGAAAAGATGGCTACTCCTGCAACATGAGCAGTAGTGCAAAAATAAGTAACTATAGTGTGAAATTTAACTCCTTGATTAACAGAATCTCTCAGACTGACTGGATCAGCCAAGTTCAGAAGTTTATGACTTCAGGCCATTCTTCCAGTTTCTCCAGGTGCTTGGACATATTTGCAGCTTTCGACGAACCTTAACTTTAAATCGCATCTCAGCCGTCTCACCCTTCTAACCCAAAAGAGATTAGAGAGGTTGTTATTTTTTCAGTCTGGGAGACTCATATGAGTACATTTATCATTACTGTCCAGACAGGAGATCCCAAAAGACCGCCTAACTCAACTCCTCTGAATGGAAGCTACTTTAAAGTCACCTTAAAATTTCAAAGGCATCGTGTGTCACTTGAGCTGGGGGTGGAAAACACCTTCAAAAGCCTGCCAGTATCTTGTCTTGGACCGGCATCATAATCTCCCCTGTTTGCTAACCTACACCATCTCTTTTCTTTTGCATTTCTTATTTATCGAAGCACTGGACGCACACATGAAGGCAGAACAGGCAGTGCACTGGCCTTTACGTCCTGTGAGATTAAAGAGAAGTGAGAAAGCGGGAATAGAAGCGTGTACCTGAAAACCTCTAAAGTTTAGACATGAAGAGGCTTTGCTGTGATCAAAGGATTCCTCAATTAGTTTTGAGGTGTATTTGTGCCATGTACTGAACCCTACTGATGAATTTTTTTAATGGATTGTCTTGAGACTCATTAAACATATATAATCCTTAAAACTAAGCGTCTCTATCAAAACACGCTATTTTCTCTGTATTTAATAATTAACAAGCACTGAATGTGCGAGTTTTAAAGCATTACTGCACAGTTGTGGCTCAGAACAGAACGGGTCTCAAACTAAAGTCGCTATCTCCAAAGCCCAATCCATTTCATCTTTTCCTGAGGTGCACATGCCTTCCAACGGGAAACAAAAAGAGGAGTCCAGCATGCTAATGAATGGAAGCTCCAATTCACAACACACTGTTAATTATAATTAGGGGTTTGTAATTACTCAGCTGAAAGAATGGCAGCCTGCATAAGGCCTTCTGAAGTGTACCTGGGAGAAAATTAAAAAGTGATCACTCTGTCATTCTTGCTCAGGCCCCTCTGTTTGGCGCTGGGGCATTAATCTGGGCAGCTGCACATACGGCAAAACATGAGCTGACAAGCCTGACTAAAGATCTCCTGGCTGTAATCTTTAAAGGAATCAGATGAGTTGATGGTGTAAAATTGAGTTTTACAGCAAGCCCGAGTGTTCATTCCCACTCACTCCTCTCAGTCCTGGTGGCTGGAATCACAATATGTTACTGGCCAAGAATATAAATCAGTGCTAAAAAAAAATAAAAATAAAAAATAGGTTCTTCCTTTGGAAAACTTGGAATGTTAATTCACCACATACTTCTAAAGGGTGCATGACAGTGCGTGCATCCAGTGAGCAACCCCAAACCTACCCCTGTTCTTACAGAACCTGTTCTGGCTTCCCACTGTTCAGTTGTGTTTGATGTACTGCCTGGCAAAGCAACTTACCTGGGCATTGCTAGTCAGATGTTTTATTATTCTGTGCACCCCCAACACAGTTGGCCAGTACTAACTATTTAAAGAAGGAGCTCAGCAGATAGATGGAAAGACCAATACTGCACCCATCTGTTTAAGGCAAAGCTACATCCACCTGCCTGGAATCCAAAGCTCAATAATTAACATTTAATATCTTGTTCCTGCCAATGGGGAGATTATTTTTTAATTTTGCACTTAGCCAGGCTAATTGATTGTCCCGGCTTCCAGAGCTGAGGTACACTAATACAACCAAACAAATACAATTGGAAAATAACAGAAGAACAAGCGAGATGAACTCCTGCCAGAACCCTGCAGCGGCCTGCATAAACCCTAATCATGACTTTTTGGCATTTGAACAAAACAACTGTACCGTTTCTTTAACAATGACTAATAAATGCTGCATCAAGCAGGCAAAAATCCTACATTTCCCCGGAAGCCTGTGATGACTCCGGGTGGGCAGTCTGGTACATAAAACAAGTGCAAAGGGAAGAGATCCTGAAGCTAGGCTCGGCTACCCCAGCTTTGTTCTGATCTTCAAAGGCTGTGCTTCTCTTTCACAGGATCAAAATCCACAAACAAACAAACTCAGATACATGAAGTAAGGTACTGAATTTCCCTGGCAACTTTCCTTCATGATGAGGCATTGATAAATACAGGCTCTTTGATAGCTATTTGCTGTTGATGATATTTTAATATGCCATTTTGTCTTCTTTTTTTTGACTGTGTGCTTGTGGGTGTTATTGTGAGAGCCTACCTGACTGGGGCACCTCTGCTCTGTGCGGGTTTAAGCAGCACAGTGACTGTGCTGTCTGTCTGGTTCAGAGAGGTCTCCTGGTCATATGCTGGCATGGATGGAGCTAAAGAGGAAACCAAGCAGAAGTTTTGTTTTAGTTTATAATATAATATGCAATATAATATTATAATAGGAGATGCATTCATCAGGCATAAATCCTGCTACAAATTCAACATAAATGTATAACTGTAACAAATTTAGCTTTACATGGCTATAAAATGCAAGATAATGTAGTCATTTTGAAACCACAATGTAAAACCATTTTGTATAATGTTCAATTTTTTACCAACGAATATACAATATAAAGTCCTATAATCCATCCCCAGAGATTGTGAACACATTCACCTTATGCACCCACACAATAAAATTTATAGTCCTGACTTAGAAGTAGATTAGCACCTCAGTTTCCCATCAATCTCCTGACTAAAAGGCATCCATTTCTTTCACGAGCCTGGCAATAAACCACCGAGCGCGAAGTTGACCCTGTGACACACTGAATGACACAACCTCATACACGCGGTACCTTCATGCATAACAGCAATTATACTGTATATGAGGTTGTGTTACATTTTTAACTGTTTTAATATGTTTGCAACATTTTATTTCAATATCATACAACGGTAATTTTAAACAGTCAACCATTAACGTCTGTAGGGACTGTTTTTATATCAGCTTGGCTTATATACATTTACATTATATCAGATGCTGCTTTTGCAATTGTCAGCATTTTGCTTGCTTTTGAAAATAAATTATTAAATTAGGCAATTTGCAAAATGAAACATTAAAAAAGCATCAGTTTTCAAAAATTAGAACAAAAAAAAGAACTACAAAATATAAGAGTACATGCAAAGTACACAACAATCCAAGTTTGTTTGAGTGAAAGGAAATAACATTTTGCTTTCACACATTTTGACATAAGACCTCTGGAAGCAATAAGCAGTACACTGCTCGTTTGGCATCGTCCACACTGTAACAGGTCTTGCTGTTGACCCCACTGACCTGAAATCTTGGTGGTGAACTGGGTGATGACAGGGGGGCCATAGCCCTTGGCTGTGCTAGCGCGCAGGGTGAAGGAATACGTAGATCCCGGGTAAAGGCCTGTGAACATGTGGGTGGTCTCGTTACCCAGCTTCACAACCTTCCCACTCTGGTTGGAGAGGTCCAGTTCAGGGTCAAAGGAGCTCACCGCTTTGTAGGAAATCTAGGAAGGAAGAAAATTTACATTCTCACCGTGGCCTCTGGTACTCCGCATTCAGCACTGTTTATCATGAATAAGATTGGTATTCATACCACAAACGCATTTTGCGTTTTAGGCATTTAAGCGACTCACCAAGCTAAATCATGTACACGTCCTTACCGTTTTGCGGTTTTGCATCCCAGTCGCGGTGTGTGTGTTATCATACTTTTCCAGTCTTTTTCCCTTCTGCAAGTCTAAAATGCCAAGAAGCATTTTTTAAAAGTCTCATGCTGCGTTTCCTCACTTGCGTGACCCTGAGTTACCACCCTATTTAGGAATACCCGTACAGTAACTAATGCAATCATTTCACCAAATACAAATGGATGCTGCCTTCCACCAGTGAAACAGACGAAATGATTTGCACATGTAATGCAAAAAAAGCTTTGTGGAATTTGGATTTAATTCTAAAGCCAGTGCTTCAAGCAATTTTTTGAAAGGTCTTGCTTTGTGCATGAGCTTCTGACTTGTCAACAAGGTTTTATGCTTATTTCCAAAATTAGGGAAGTACAAAAGGTCTGTGGAGACACGCTGTCTCATTATATGGGTTAGTATTGTCTGTAAAAGCATAGGTACATATTTTTAAGGCAAAGCTGATGCAAGCTTGTGGTTTCAAGGAGGGAGAAAATATACTTAATGTATTCCTTCTCCATTAATGAAAGCAGGGAGCTCTGGAGGGAAGCATTAAGGTGAGTGTTTTTGCTAATATCCATTTTGAATAACTGTAAAGTTCCACTTTAAGAAAATGCCTCTGCTCGTAAAGGAAAACCTCCATTATAATTCCAATTAAGGAACACAAAGGGAGTTTGGAGTGCTGCATAATTTGTGTCCATCAAGTTTTGAAATGCTTCTAGGCTTTCTCATTTAGTCTTTGTCTCCAAAATGAGCTTGTGATGCCAAATCCTATATCATAACTTTACAGGAGAGGAATTTGGAATGACTTGTCAACACTGGGAATATGGGCAGGCTTTTAAAACCATAACATAACTCACGGAAAACAAATAATAGAACTTATCCAAGAAGATTAACTGGCCCATTTGACCATATATATCCCGATTTTCTGACCCCACTGGTTTAGATGTGTCTGACAGAGGTAAATGACCGTATAAAGACAAACAGACATGCCTATAGCACCTCTGAAAAAAAGCAAAAATAACAATGGAACATAAATTCTATTCGTTTAATTTTGTTTGTGAAAAAAACACTTAAAAATCAGTTGAGTTTTAACTGACAATAAGTCAAATATGTATTAGAAAAACACTTTAGTACAATGCAGTGTATTTTTGTAATAGTTCGTGTTGCCACGATTGGCCGCTGAATTGAAATTAAAAGAAAATCTGCCGTATATCTTTCAGTAAATGTTGGCTCATGTCTGTCAGAAAAGATGTCAATAAAATAGCATTCACGGAGCACTGGTCAAAAAAGGAATGGGGCTGAAGTCTCTTTGATATCAAGCCTTGTTAGATATATTTCACTTTGAGTTCTTTGATAATGTCAAATCAAAGCAAGGTCTTGACTTATAAGAAGCAACTTCTGGAGAACACAGGCAGAATAGATTCAGGGTTACTTTTCTAAAACCAGACTGGGATGTGGGATGAGGGGAGACACCTGGAGCGAGTCGGCGGCTTTCTAGGTTTTACTTGTCTGTCATCCCTTTTTAAATGAAGTGATGTGAATATTAAACCCTACACTGGATCTTTGGGAAGGCCAGAGAATGTAATACATTTAAATCCTACTCCTCACTTATGGGGCCCTAAACGATCAAGCCTCTTTACATCTTAACAGAACAGTGCTATCATAGTCTTTGTTATGATCCTTCTTTTTTCGTTTCTTTTTCCTTCCATTTCTTGTTTTGCTACCACCACCTGTGTCATTATTGTGTCATTATTTCTAATTCCAAAATTTCTGACTGATTTTGAAGATTATCTCATGTAGCTTTTTGCGTTTTTGTCCTCTTCCTACCCTCTTATCTAATTTTCATCTGCACGTTATGATCCTTCTTCACCGAGGGCACAGTACTATGAAGCAAGCTCAACATATCCATCCTTTTTCTTATCTGGCTTCACTTAGCCAAACATCAGTGGTCACATACATCAACTCAGTCAAGTCAACGCCGGGTTTTCAAATGTAGCTATGAGGGTTCCCATGTTAGTGGTCACATTGGTTGCATAGGGCCAGTCACAAACACGGACAGGTCTGCAGACAGCAGAGTGACACATTTGACAAAGAACAAAGAAATTGTTCTCTTATCACCCAACAAAACGTCAATTCATTTATACGTATCTATATTCTTTGTAGACTGTTCTTTTTAACATCCTGTTCTCTAATCTTGAACGTAGGTCTAGAGTTTGTTACTATGGCGATGTACCTCAGTGAATTAAAATCACCTCTGAAAAAATGTGAAATCCAGGTTAAAATCAACCTAGAAAAGCTGCCCGGCTAAGATCTGAATGCTGCTTTGTAGTAAAGCCCTCAAATGTATGGTTAGCCTGTGGGATTTTCAGGCGATCTCATGTGTCCTGTGTTTCTCTTCATCATCGCTGGTTTCTCCTTTTGCAATTTTCCAGTGTGGACCCGTGCCATTTTGTTTACTGGATTTCCTTTCTCCATTTCTCCATGTGAGTTTTAAAATACTGAATCCTTAAAAAAAATTTTTATTTTAAATGCCACAAATACCATTAAAGTACTTGGCTCTCAGAGTACAGATGCATTTGTGGTTTCTAGTGTTTCCTGTAGTAAAATGGGAGGCAGAGTCTTTATTTATGGAGCTCTTCTCAGTTGAGGTTTAGGAGGCAGACACTCCCTCGTTTTTAAATTGGGGCTTAATTTTTTTTTTTTCCTCTTTCGACACCGATGAATTTGATAAGCTCATAGTCAGGACCAGCCCAAGTGACCCTGAACCATCACTTGGTTATGCTGGTATAGGCCTAAGTTGCAGTGGGACTTCCCTTTACACCGAGCACCTTTCCTCTCTGTCACTCTCCTTGCATTTATATTGCCACTATTGCATGTCATTAACTTTGTGTCTTCTCTCTCCCCCACAGTTTGTACCTCTTCCTTTCTGCTTCCTCCATTTCTCCGTTCTGCACACATTTCTGCCTCATCAGCACCGTGTTTCTAATCTGTGGTTACTCCCCAACCTGAACAGTGCATAAAGTCTGTTTTTCAGTGCTTAACGTTTTTCCCCCTTCATCTCTCCTCTTATTTTAACAAGTTGAATAAGAGGAGAGAGGAACATGACTATCTGACATTTAGTTGAGTCAGATGGTCATGCTCCCTGAGCCTGGCTCTACTGCAGCTTTCTAACTATTAAATGGGAGGTTTTCCTCCCCACTGTCACCAAGTACTTTGCTCAAACTACATCATGTGGCTGCTCTCTACAATATTTCACGACCAATACCAAGTTAAAAGCCCCAAGATTTGGTGATCTATGTCGAAAATTACATTAAATTCCATTTTCTTCTAAAATAAAAGCTGATAAAAGTGATTCAAGGTGAGGTTAGAAAATCTATAATGCTTTAATGTATATTAAAACCTGGAAATGGCAGGATGTCAGTGACTTATTGCTTTCCTTTTACTAGGCACATTACAATGCTGTTAAGGCTTTAAAGACAGAAATAATAGCTGCAGCATGTAATTGATGGAGTGGGTTCATAAACTGAAATGCATTCGCCTCAATATAAATGAGAACCTGACAAAGTGGCGTTGCAGCCGTGCTATTGGCTCTAAATGCTTTTACCTGTATTATAAAATTTTTAAAAAGATAAACAACTAAAACATGATGCTCTAAAGGCAATTAAGTGTACTGGAAACCCACCATTTCTATGGACATTGTTTTCCTGCTCTCAGCTGACATCTCTTAGTGCCATGCAGCCGTGTGCGAGACATAACACTCCACTAAACACACTTGAATAAACAAGGTCTTGTTATGCTTCTCACTTTAGATCTCTCCGCTTTGATTCAGATGTCCCTGTGCTGTTGAGGGGAAATGTATTTTACATTTCAGTCGTCTTATTGTATGGCAATAAATGGAGCAACATATGCAGCAACTCTATTTGGATTATTCAATCGGCTTTCCGTGAGTGAGGAACGTTTCTGTCGATGCTCGATAACCTAGTCAAAATACCAAGTGTGTGCAAGCGAGGACAGGAAGGAAAATCAACAGAGAAAGATCAATCTGTGGGAAAGGCTGGATGATTACTTCCACCTTAAGCTGGTTAAGATCAATGCGTACATATAGTGCGAGTGTGTCTGGAGACTGTATTATTCAAGACTATGAAGCTCCTGGACAGCGCATACAGGAGCTCGGTGGAGTCTAATGTCAACAACAACTCAGAGCTGATTTGTGATGCATGTGGGTTGTTCATGAATCTAAAATTCTTTAGAGGTCATTCATGTGTTAAAGAACAGAAGATGATAGAAGCTTGCAGTTTAGATGTACAGTTGACCACATTTGGACTGCGCTACATTTAAAAAAGCCTGTTTAAAGCAAGATTATTATGAAAACTCTGAACAAAGTAAATCTTCCATAGTGCTTTGGGTTTAACCTGCTCCACAAGTAGGCTATAACTAAGAGCTAATATGGTTGATCTAATTATAACCTGTTTTACTGCAGTGCATAGTCAAGATGATTGCACTTTAATGACCTCAAAACACAGACCTGAAACATCAAGTAGATTACCGAGGCATAAGTTCACATTAAGTAGGTACTGAAAGAGCCAATTGTGATGATTCTGTATTAATTAAGAGCATAAAAAGACTAATAGTTTAATGCGTAAATAGCAGCTTTGTGAGGCTGAACCAAAGCACATCAGTGCTAACATCATCAGAATAAGACACTCACAATAACAACGCTGACTTACTGATATTTGACATTTACCAGTACCCGACTCGTGCAAAAAACAAAGCACTCTATACTCGAGGCTGCCACGAATCATCATTAGCACTAATTTGTAAAACTAGGCAGCCAATTGGACAACAAAAATTTTAAACTAATATCTTTTGCTCAGGCAAAGGACAAGGGATAATCAAAGTTATAAAAATCCATCCTCGGGGCGAAAGCTTAACAAAGAGAACATCAGTGAACACTAATATTATAACTAAACCAATAACCAACCTGCTGAATTTTGCTGTCAGCCCAGTTTGCTCACTTTATAATTATGTTAATCCAATGAATACATTATTTTCTTCCCCATTGTATCAGTAGGGCTGGAGTTAATTCGCATGATTTGAAAACATTAAACTTTGCAGTGCTTAACAAATTTATTAGACCACCCGTGATAAAAACAAGAGAATAAATATTATGAATCCTAAAACTAAAAATTACACCATTACTAACTGACTCCGTGTTTTTACAGCCGTGTTTGAGCCGGCACACTGGACTTCAGAAATTAATTGAGCGTAATGTTCTACCACTGAAACAAAATTGTCTGTTCAGGTAAGCAAGTAAACAATTGAAATGCAACTGAAAACAACAATTTGGCATCTTAATCAAAAATTAATAATGTGCTTTACTGGTTTTTCCACTTTTGTGTGAAACAGTAAATTTGAAAATTCATGGAGAACAGTTAGGTTTTTGGCATTAAAATACATTTACATTAAATAATTTGCCTAAATCAATTTTAAAAATGATTCAGGTAAATAGCAATATTGTTCATTTAAGGCGTCCTTGGCATAACCCTACATTAGGTGTGGTCTAATAATAATAATAATAATAGTAATAATAATAATAATAATTAAATGTGTTCAAGGCAAAAGGCAAAAAGCCATGAGCTAAATCAAAGGAGTCTGTTTACTGTTCGAAAGCGTGGATAGTTTCTTAAGCACGTTGCTAGCGACTGTGTTAGTACCTCATACTGAGTGATGATCCCGTAAGTCTGCGCCGGTTCTCTCCACTTCAGGATGATCTTCTCCTCGTAGGCACTGCCCTGAATGGACTCCAGAGGAACCGCCCCAGGCACTGTGGGAAATGCGTACATGTGGTAATAACTACCGAATTAAGCAGTAGTTTACTTTAGTTTTGTTTTTCAATTATTATTTTAATAGTTTTTTACCTTATTCTACGGATTAGCTTTTAACTGACCTGTTTTTTAATTTCTTTTTTTAAAATACTGAAATTGATTGACTGCTTTCCAAAAACTGTAGCTGAGTTGAAATCTTCAAGGACTGAAACAAGTTTCTAAAAAGTTTTCTCAGAAGAATTTTCTTGCCACATATTTGACACTTTTCACCTTTCTTAAGTTAAATTATTGCCAATAAAAGTTGATGAAAGCAGCTGTAGCCCTTTCCACTATGATTTACTAAGCAAAGCACCTTAAACTAATGTGCATACCAAAAAAGGCTTTTCAAGGATGCGCGCTAAAAATGTGAGAAAGCCAACATCAAATGCAATTTTTTAAACTGGAATTTGCAAGATTATTTGAAGTCAGTGTTACTCAAGACACTGTTATACATGTTTTACAGCAAACCTGAACACTTTCTTACAGATAGAAATGGATAGAAAAGATGAAGTTGTAAACCCACAGGAACAGCAGGAATGTTAATCTTACTGCAATGTTTACTTGTACTGAGATACTGCCAAAGAGATCTAGTCCTTTAACCCCTCATGTGAATTGCTTTCATTCTTTAAGCGAAAGAGACTGATGTGGAGATGTACTTTTTTTTTGGTTTAAAGATTTATCTTGAACACAACTAGAGCTACACCCTGCCTGTACACTTTCTCCCATGGGACCCTAAGCACACAGATACACATACAGAAACACATATCAGTCAGATACTGAGAAACAGTTGCCACTTTCAAGTTTCCAACCAGAGATATCTGAGCCAGACATGACTCTTTTCTACAGCTGAGCCTGTTATCTGGCGGCCGGGGTTCCTTGAGACTTCTGTAGAGTTCATTTCCTGTGTCTGCTGAGGCAACACAGAAGATCTTTCATCTTTCAAGGAGGTGAAACAACTATCCGACACAGAGGCTTACTGTCTGACTTCTGTGCTCTCCTGAAAAATATTTGGAATATCCCAGACTTTGTTTGTGACTGTGATGAGATGAGAACCTACACATCCTAAAGATCGAAACATCAAAACTGTAATAACAAAAGCAAGTTGTTCAGCTGTTGAAGACACATTTTCTTTTATTAAATGTTAAGAGAAAGTGTGTTAGCGTGCCATATACATACATATACACTGACTGAATTTTCTACAGTAGAATCCAGTAGTAAATTCAGTCAGATCCATCATTTTGAGAAGTAAAGATCAGATTATTGAAAGAAGAAATTAAATGCAAGTCTTTGGGGGGGGTTGTTTTTTTTTGAAACAATGACATCTAATATAGTTAGTACATGTCTGTGAACAGGTGGCGACACAACACCTCCACATACACAGCCTACTATCTTAGAGCCTATTTCTTAAGGAAATAAGACTTTTAAGCTATTTACATTTATACACACTGTTACGACCCAAGGTGACCTCAGTGTGAGGTTTCCTGTGTGCTTTGTGGTCTCTCTGTGATGTGATTTGATGACAGAAAAACTGGCCAGTGTTCTGCAGGGCTATTTAAACCCCACCTTCTGAGGCCTTGCTTCATCTCTTCTTTTGAGTTACTGTCTTAATTGTTTTTTTGCCAATTGACCCATGCACCACTTTACACCACTGACATGGACTTACACAAATCATGATTATTATAATAAACCCCTGGTAATCCCTGTTCAGTTGCTGGCATGTCTCCATTCTTTGTTGTGGCCTATGAGCAACTAAATTGTGTCTCATTTGTTGCATAGTGAATTTAACACATCGGACTGTAACAAATGCCACGTCTCTACCCCCAATGTCAGTATCACAAATCCAGTGATGGAACTGGTGTTTAGCTCAGTAGGATAAGAAATGGGGAAGCTTGAACTCACAAGTATGAGTCAGAATTGAGGTGCACGGTTATTTTTTTCCTCCACTGTTGAGAATGTTTAAACTGCATTTCGTTTTATTATAAATTATTAAGCATTAATAGAAAATATTTGTCTCTCTGAAGTTAAAAAGTAAATTAAATATGTCTAGATGATGTTGAAGTATCTTGAACTGATGTCGGCATAATTTCCACAACTTTCATTTTGGAATAGACATTGACAAACACAGAAATGTCTGCAATGTCTGGGTTTCAGTGAGTTTTAGAATGCAAATATCATCTAAAAGTAAATCTTTTTTTTCCTGCCCTGTAAGGCTTTATAGTTGAGCTAAGAAAAAAAAAAAAATGGACTATTGATGTTACTTACCATCCTCATCGGTCTGAACCTCCAGCTCTGTGCTCTCCTTGACACCCTCCGGGTTGCGCAGCACTAGCTTGACGCTGAGGTTGGTGAATGGAGAGAGATTGTGGATAGTGTGCTGAGGATCGCGACTCTGAGTGTCATAACACACTTCCTCACGCGTCTCCTCCTTGCCGGCTACTCTGTACCGGTACTGGACGGTAAGGTTATAGCTGTGGCAGCGGGTCACGTTATAGCCCAGAGGTTCCCAGCGCACTGTAACCTGTTTGGACTGGATGTCCACCACTTCCAGCCTCCGTGGGCCGTGCATAGGCTCTGGCGAAATCGAAAGAGAAGGAAGTGTGAACTTACATCAAGATAATCAATTGGGTCATATTAAATGCCAGGTGTTTCAGGCCAGATGCAATAAAATCAAAATTACTGAGGTTTACGTGGGTTAGAGAAAGCTCCTTTTCCTTTGGGCCAAAATTATTATTATTATTTTTTTTTAAATCCAGTAGTAGATTTTTCATAACACTTTCATTCATATTAAAATACCACTTTTTTCTGTTTATAGTTCATATTTCCAGAAAATATTTCAAAATTTCAAAGGCACAGACTGATACTGAGCATTGCCAAATCCCATTACCGTTGCTAACTTGGGCTCACAGCAACTAAAGGCACCAAGACAGCACAGGTCTGTCGCTGGAAACCCTCAGCAGGTGGTGTATCATCCCTTCAGAGCGTGCCATTCCTCTGCTTCTTCTGCCTTGTCCTCCACCTTTTCTACTCTATTTTCCATCTCGCCCAGTGGCGGTCAGCTATTAGCACCACACTGATACAGAGTCAGCCAACCTGTCAATCCAGGCAGGACACAACCCCCACCGCTATCCTATCACCTCTAATCACATACACTGTCTCCTTGCCTTTTCTCTTCCACTTTATCCATTTTCTCTCTCCTTCCTTCTCTCTCTTTCTCCTTTCCCCACCTATTTTCCCCTCTTGCACTCCCTCTCTCCCTCCTTTCCTACGGGAGGAAAGCAGCCCAAGCACAAGGTAATGGGATCAATTTCCATTCCAGGTTAAATTCGCAGTCCATTTCTCTGGAACTTAACACTTTACCACCTATTAGGAAGAGCCAGAGCTCAATTTCCCCGTTCCCCAGGAGACACAGTCCAGCAATTCAGAGGCGGCCACGGCAGCCATGTTTAACATTCTAGAGATGTGTGAAGGGAGACTGGACTCAGGCTAGAGCACGGTGTTCATTTTTACAGATTGTATAAAAGACAGAACAAACAAGCAAGAAACCAACAAACACTGTTGGCATTATGATCACAGACGTTTCTTTTTGTTATCTTCCGCTATCCAGCGTATTACTACTGCGATAAAATGTTCAAGGTTTATCGAGAATCCTTTCAAATGATCTTGCAGGAGTTTGAGTAGCGCTATAGAAAATCTACAAGGTAGAAATGAACGGTTTCAAAAAAAAATTAGGTCATGACATGTGAAAACTCAGGCCTGTACAAGTGGAAAAAGGGCTCCTTGATGAATGAAAGATCGAACGCCTGCCGATTTCACGAGGAGAAACAACGGATGTGATTTCTCCTGCACTTTTACAGACAGGATGAAATAGCATTAGAAGAGCCTGAAGGAGACAGAGGAAGAGCAGTTGAAGGCAGATTGGGAAAGGGATGTCAATGTGCAGTATATAGTACATGAAATACAAAAGGCTACAAATGTGATGCCTCACAAAAAGGCATAATCTCCTTCCAAAAGGGAAAAAAATGGCATCTATGATATATTCAAGACAGATTTGCTACTATAGTTCAAATAAAAGTAAACATTCCACTAAAATTCCTCATTCAGCACAAGTATCCAACAGCTTTAATCGTGACTTAACAAGCAGTTGAGAGAATATAGAGCTATCTGGTGTTGGTTTACTTGTGTTTTATCATTTCTTAGCCTGAATTTTACTCTGCAGCGAATGTCTTACTCTGCAGAGTAAAATGCAGTAATAATATAAAAAGTGGTGTGATACTTAAGAAAATGTAATCACACCCTCCAAAAACAAACAAACAGACAGACAAAAAAACAAAAAAAAATAACAAAAAAAAAAAGATTCTAAGGAAAAACTGGGAGCAACTGGCAATGAGAAATAGGCTTCTTCACTCGATTGCAGTGTTGGGAGAGCCATCCAGAAAATAGAAGTTTAAACCCCTTTATTTGCGGAACTATCTGTTGGCCGCACTCTGTAGGCAACGGTTACACTAAAAGCACAGAGAATTGCAGGGTGGCCAGGCACAGAAATCAAATTAAACCAGATGCTCTCAGAGTTACAAATGCACCAAAGTGTGAATCTCAAACAGACGCGCACAAGCGACTGAGAGTTAGTCTCATTTCTGGAGCGTTCAAGGAGAATGTCACACTCCCATCTTTGTGGAACATCATAGATAATGTCCACTGCACCCTAATTCGGGCCAATGGAGAGCTGCCAGGATGGGAAGCACTTGTGGAAAATATAACTGTGCTGAGAAACAGCCGTAGCCCCACGAAGAAGGGACATTAATTTATTTGTGTCTATTTGTTTTACTGGGGGTAGGATTATTAGACGTATTCTTTTTATTTTTAGGTGTACAAGTCGCAGGAAAGATACACAAAAGAACATCGGCCGTTTGGAAGCAGCTTTTATAATTATTCTATAGCCTCTGCCTGGTGTTTTGTAGAGAAAAGGCTAATTGTTTGTTGCCCCACTGGCTCCCTGTAGTGCAAATGCCAGCTGTCTGAGGGAGGCAGTAAAACGAGAGGATCTGTGGCAGAACTTGTAACCCATGATTCAGAATGACTTCATTGCTTGCATGAACAACAAGGTGCCTTATCCGTTTTAGAGCCCGGTCATAGATGACTTTGAAGAAAGAGGAAAAGGAAAAAAAAACGCCGTGCATCCTCCTCCCTCACTTAATCTGAAATGAACAGGTCAGGCTGAATGGCTGATATCCTTTATAAGTCCCTTCATGAATAGATGAAGACCATGCAGCCATTCTCAAATGGGCCCACAGGCCCGTGAATGACAACTGATGAGATGAGCCTATTACCCCAGTTTACTGTGGCTGCAAGTTTAGTTTTATTGACTGAACAGTAAGAGGCTCAGTATCAAGAGCACAAACAGAAACAACAACAAGGAATAATAGGGCTAGCTCTGAAAATCCATACCATTTTTTTCCTCCCCACAATGCTCTCAAGCTATCACAGTCTCAGGGCGACATTGGGGTGAAAGTACTAAAAATATGACTCCAATATCTCTCCAGTATGGCAGATATTTCTAGTGGAATAGAGTTATAATAATGGCTATGAAAGCATCCCTTGGAGCAGGAAATTACTGAGGTCTATCTTATGCCAGGGCACTCAGAATGTGCTCCAGTGAGAGCCAGATTGGTATTCCAAGCGGTGGACAAATTATCACCTGCCCCACACTCACCGATGTAATTGAATAATTTGAACTTGACATTTACATAGAACTATTAGTGATTTTTTGTCATTACAGTCTGACATTTAAATAATGTTTTTAGAAATTATCAGCACATTATTGCGTCTTGCTAATTTGATTGGGCCCTGCGTACATGCTACTGCAGCTCATGCGATAACATGATTTTGCCAAACATTAAATAAAAAAAAATTATAAAAACAACAACAACAACAACAAATAACCGCATGTTGCAACTGGCTGTCCTAGAGGGGGCTTCAAATGGTGCACTTAGCCCCTGGGAAGAGCAAGACATTAGTCCTGGATGAAAGGAAACAAATTGGGCATGTCTGGAGCACAGCCACTTTACTACTAGATGAATGTGTGTGTGTGCGGGCGTGTGTGGCTGTATAAAGGGGACCATGTGTGTACTCTTGTGTGCTTACCATCTTATGAGTGTAAAAGAGTTTCCATATGCGTGCACAGCAGCACACGTCTGGTTTCTCAGCATCTTTCTGGCTATATGTACAGAAGAGCGATTTACTTATCAGATTTTCCTCAGGCTTCGCAGCATACGAGCCATTCGGAAAGCCGGGATCTTTATCAGATCCACATCGATTAAGAGAAGAAAAGCCTGATGCTGGCTTAGACTTCCATCTACCTGCTCAGCAAACAGACCCAGAAGGGGGGGGGGGCGAGAGAAAAGCCTGTTTCCCCAGTGATTAGAAACCCCCAGCAAGTCAATGTGGCTCCCTTGCCTGTTCACCGTCTCATCAGGCTGAGGAAGAGGAGGGGAGTGCTTTGACTTTCACAGGATGGCCCGTAGATGGTCTGATTCCTTCGCGGAGCATGTCAACCGGAGCTTGTCACAAGAAAGTACAGCTGTTGGAGACGGTACCATAACAACTTGATGACGGTAAGATTAAATCCCGTGTTCCGTTCTAGGCAGTCAGGCCTGGTATTGCCGTCACTTATCTCTCTCTATTTTGATTTGTTATTCTTTCTGTTGTGTTTGAGCTGGGTGGGCTGGGAAACAAGCACATTTGTTTGCCTCTTTCTATTACATCTCACTGATAGCACTATGACCATTGAGGTAATGACATGGGTTTTACACTTAGGAAATCATTTTCATATCCGACAGAAGCAAGCAGTAATGATAGCTTTTGATAACCGACAATCAAAGCTCCATCACCCTCCTAGAGTGCTTCTCTATGCAATCCTCTGGAGGAACAGAACGACTGTTTGACTCTGTGTGTGTATGTGCATGCGTGTGGGAAGAGATGGAGGGAGTCGGTGTGTGGGTAGATAGGTGGGTGAGGGGACTGGAGAAAGCAAGCTAAGACAGAGAAGGGGTGGAAATGTCAAGGTCTTTGTTGCCATCAAATGCAACAAGTAAAATTAGGCCTCAGAACTGACGTGTGTACACATATTATAACTGATGGCACTTTAAAAGGCACTGTACATGGACATCTTGTGATCCAATACAAGCATTAGTCAGAGACAAATGCTTACATGCTCAGGACACACACACACACACACACACACACACACACACACAGCTCAGACACCTTGGAGGCGTGGATAATCACAAGGATTTATTGAATGGTGGTGGTCGCTCCTCACTCTATCAAGTCCTTCTTTATAGGCCCAGTGATAAATGAGACTGCCATGATGGGCGAGTGTGAGGGGCGGAGGGGCCTACAGTGCTCTGGATCAAATTGAAACCACCGAATGAGCCCGGGCGCCGGACCAGGCCAGGCTGCCACCTTGTCTGATGAACCCCCTGAAGCTGTAGGGGTGGAGATGAATGGGCGAATGCTTTCCTTTTCACAGAACTAAAGAGAAGGGGACGGTGAAAGTAAGACATTCTCTACCA